AAACTGATTTAGTTCTCCACATTACCTGCGATATGATAACACTATTTATGCTATACATTTTATACAAATGATACCGTAACATTTCCTCATTTCACAACGAGTTATCACGACCAGGGGCGCTGAGCGCCGATATACCAGTTCTTTAGAGTTTCAGAAAGGATTCAGCGGATCTTCTTGCTTATCGTAACGAATCGATTCCGACGTTACGAGATAGTATGTAAAAGAAGCGAACACGAGCTTTCCGCTTAAAAGAGAATGGTGCACTTTTATTGTTTAAAAATTGTACGTTGATCAGGCTCAAGTTTTTTTGTTAATCTAATTTAATTTCTATTAAATTTAATTTTGACTGCTCTATCTACCTGATTTGGATAACGAACCCTCAAAATATTCTAGGTCAATCATCTGGTCAAAGATTTGGTCGAATTTTTTAATATATTCCACAATGATTTGGTTTTATTATTTGACTTGAAAATATCCTGGTCATATTTCATGATTTTAGCCTGCCGTATGACTTTTCTCAAAAATGATTTGTATTTTTTAAAGTAGAGGAGGAAACCTTGAGATACGTAATGGTGCTTAGAAATGAAAGAAAGAATTCGTTTGTTTTTACTTGATGCCCTAATCTCTTGTGATATAAAAGAATTGCTTTTCCGTGAAATATTTAATTTCCTCTTTTAAAGAGGAAAGGACGTTTTAAAATGAAATGAAAGCGTTGAAAAAAAAAGAATTGTATTTATCGTTTGTATCAACAGTATTGTAAATCGCGTCCCATGACTCTTGCAGCAAGTATTTTATGAATAATTTTATTTTACTTTTAGAAAATAATGTACTCATATGTGTATTATTCATTGTGTCAGTGTTCGTATTTCTTATAATGGTAAGAATTTGTGCATCGTGATCACTTTTGTTTTAATTTCATATCGAGTAGTGGTTTTGTCAATTATTATTTGATCGATTGCCTTCTTTGAATTTATTGTGATCCGTGTGGGTACATTTAGTGTAATATCTAAACTGAAGGAATGAATTAAATAGAGTAACTGCTCTTTCTCGGAAGATTCGACCAGAAAATCAATGTTAAAATCTCCACATACAACAATTGATTCAAAAGAGCGATTGGTGATTTTGTGTAGTGTTATCTCCAGTTTCTTTAAGAACATAATATAATCTACTGCTCTCTTTGTTGGAGGCCTATAATATAATTTGCAAAGTAATATAATTTTTAGCGTAGGAAGATGTACTACAGATATTTCAAACACATTTTCAACGGAATACACATTTAATTCCGTCAAGGAAGTAGAATCGATATTATTTCGAACGTAAATATTTATTTATAGATTTATGTTTGTTTCTGTTTTACTTCTACAGTTTTAATGATGCACCTATGTTTTGTTCTGTTCTGTCCCCTTTTCACCTCTCACTATACTTTATCTTTACTGTCGTTTATTGTTATCAATTGAAAATAATAGAGTATTTTTTACGTTAGTGGGCTCGCTGCCCAGACTCGCCTCTCTCCGTGTGGATAATAGCTCTTATAATGGAACTTTTACCATTACAGTTTATGAAATTATCATTTATTTCATAACATTTTGTGTGTTTCACAATAAGATATTTGAATATAAGATAATTAAAGATGTTTCGAAATATACTCTCCCTTCTAATTTATATATTGGCCTTATTACTTTTTTTTTAGTTAAACTCGAACTTCAATGATTTTCATTGTCTGTTTTTCTTAATTTTAAAATTTTAATATTTTCAAAAAAAAAAAAAATACTTTCAAATTAAAACATGTCCAATCATTAATTTATGTAAACACCCGATGAAGCACGAAACCAACACGCGAAAGACTGCATTGTGAAATAAATACTTTTTTTATAACTTATCTTTTGTTGTTCAAAATATAAGGTATTTGTGTTTTATAGGTTAAACGAGGGTACACGGTACACTCTCAGAGAAGCGTGCCGGCGGGGAGGGGTCTCCTTAAGGCCACCCTTAGCTCTGATAGAAATGAATAAAACTTACGGATAGGCGTTTTTCATGGCTCGTCCTTCATACGCTTTGTTTCCGTCGCATTATAATGCCAATTTACTTTCAAAGGCAAGTTTTCTCGCTTCGCTCTTCCGGATCCAAGTCACGGCGAGGCTCGGACCTTCAGCCCTCGCGTTCACTATAAACATCCTTGGATCTATCCACCGCATAGTTACCAATTCATCTTTACAGAAAATCACTTTTCAAGAAAGCCTCCAGAACTCAAGCTGCGAAGTTGCCGCCGGAGCGACGCAAAGTGCGAGTTTAAACGACTTCCATACGTTGTACCGCGTACTAGACGTCAGCCGTTTCATTATGTAAATTGTATATTAATCGCTTAGGCCGCAGGCCAGAACTTCGTCAGGAAACTCGACACGCGTAGTAAAGCGTCAAATGTGAAGCTAATAGTTCAATTTTAACTTTCCTTCACTCAGATAATGTCATTGAACGTATCACAATACGTCCAATTTAACTACAGACGACACTAGAAACACTTCAGAGAGAAACAACTTCATTTTTATTATAAAAATCTTCATCGATACTGGAACGGGAAGTTCGATTTTGTACTTGAAGGCAACGATTCGCGGAATCACAATTATTGGTCCCTTTATCAAACATACGAAATGAAACCGTAAGTTCAAAAAGCAGCTTAGTCATTGTAAATTCACGCCAAAATATTATACTTAATTTGTTGTTGAACTGGACAATAATTGTAATTCGCCCGAAAAGGTGTCTCCAAGAATAAATGCGAACTTCCCGTTCCCACGTTGATGGTGATTTATATAGTAAAAATGAAGGTGTGTATCTGAAAGTGTGACTAGTTTTAGGCCTTTAGTTAAATGCGATGTCCAAATGAATTAGCCATGGCAAGGCCTAACAAAGAGTCACCACCCCTACAAAGACGACGAATTTCTGCTCGCGGGCTCCTATTGTCGTTCGCCATCCTCGCGCAAAATTCTGTCGAATGCCTCTCGTTCATTACGAGAAGGGAGAAGATCCATGAATGTACAACAAGAAAATCCAAACAACAAACTACGCTGCAATACGTCTAAAGCATTGTGTAAAATATGTACGCAGGTTCCGAAGTTTGTATTTTTTTTAAATAAGAGAAATATAAGCATAAAGGTTTTTCTGAGGCTTAAACGAAATAAAAGAAACTGATTTCGCCTACTCCTAGCGCTGTAGAAACTCACACCAGATTTATTTACATAATGTGGCATAAAAAGACTAAAAAAATTAAAATGCTAACAATTTTGGGAATAATTATTTACATCATTTACTAACTGAATTTCATAAAAAAACTGCACCTCAAGGTCTCACCTTAAAATTGAAATGTATGTTTTTGTTCGTGCAACAAGAACTACAGCTATTTTTTTAGTGTTTAATTCGTGACTGTCAGTTCCGGTACACTTCCTGGTGTTACGTGGCCACATCAAGTAGTTTCCGGTACAAAATTGTCGGTAAATAAGTAAATTAATAAGTAAAACACACGGGTTAAACGTGCGAGAAATGAGGTAAACATCATACCATGTACTAAGTATGAAGCCTGAAACGCCACAACCAACGTCGAAATCTTCTATTTTGTTACATCTTCAAAGAAATAAGAAAACTTTGGCCATCAAACATAACCTGTAGTGTTTTTAACCTACAATATAAAGGTAATTATCAAACAGTACTTACATTATACAGGAAAAAAGTCTTCTCTAAATACTGCAAGGTCCTTACTGAAGATTGCAGTGATGCCGCGGGTTCTGATGTCTTTTCCTCTTTACAAGTGAACACACTTGCACACTAAACAAACTTTCACGCCACACTTTTTACTCAACACTGCCTCAACGGCCAAAGTGGAACTGAGCGAAAAAATTTTCCAATAGTTACACTAGCGCTATAGCGGGTCCAGTGAGAACTATTTCTTGAGATTGTGAATTCAAATGACTCATTTCTAGCTTATATTCAGTATTGAAAATACAAAACGTGTGTTTTCAATGGAATATTCGCTCGTAGTGTGTCTGGGATTATTTTGAATTTATAGTTTCATTTGCGTCTTATCCTTTCGTTCCCAGTTGATCCCCGATGCCGTGAGATAGGAGAGCAAATAAAGTAGTACAAGAAATACCCACGAGAACGAGTCCATTCTGCAATTTGGATAGGCAAAGTAAAACTTCAGGTTTAATGTGGTGATAATGGTGTAATGTTGTGATAATGGTTAGTTTTCATGGTTCATAAACCTATTCACAGGAGTCAAAGATATAATCATTAGAGTTTTATTCCTATCGTATTTTGATACGATATCTTCAAGTTTCGTTTGCATTGCTGTCCTAACATTTCACTAAAATGACGGATCTTTTGTAATTTATTGACAATGTTAATGATTCTTTCGTTAGGACATATTAAGTTGCAACTTATCTTTGAATTATCATTGTATTTCAATCATGAATTGGAGATAGTGTCCATAATTCTTAGCAGTGCAGAATTTATATCAGTTTGGACACAGTTTTAGTGATTCGCGTGATGCCAAAAACCAAATTACTGAAAGTTCCAGTTATTTCGTTCGTGGGTTGACAATGTCTACTTTACAGTTTAAAGCGAAATTTCGTAAGGTACCCCTGATCCTCATACTTGTAATAGAATTTTATACGTTTGAAATGACAGATCAAGAATTATGGTAGACCGAAGACAACTGTAAATTGACTTTCACTGCAAATGGGCGAAGTGAGCTAAATAATTGTACTCATCAACCAAAGCTTCCAGCACATATTTTGTACTTACACATATTACGCACATTCCATTATATACCAACAGATTATTTTGAACTTATTAATCATGTGGAATTGTTGATCCAAACACACTTTACATTATTCCTTTAAATATTTTAATCAAATAACTGTCGGCTCATAAAAAAAACTCTTTGGTATAAAAAATGGTTAAGGATTATTGTGGAAGAGAAGGAGCATTATTGAAGAGAAAAAGATACATTTTCAACACCACAAACATCAGAACATGTTATATATTTGGATGAAAGACAATACTCGGACAATAATACATAACCTATTAGCACCCTGACAAATATTCTATATAGAGTAGTATTTGAGGGATGCGATTTATAATACATAAATCCATTTTAATACATACGCAAAACATGTATACATCTATTTAACTTCCACGTATAATTGAGTATAATTACAACAAAACAACATGTTTTAAAGGAAATTCCTTGTTCTTCATTACTAGTATCACTTCCGATACGTGCATTCTGAGCAAATTGAATAGCAGGCAATGCCTGCAATTGACTATAAGAGAGAAAATGCCAATAATAAGTGCAAGTAATTCGAATAAATGCAAAGAATTATCTAGATGAAGTTACTTGTCAGTTGTAATTTCACTTATAAAGTTTTATATTTAATTAAAAAAAGGTACCGATGATTAATTTCGTTATTTTGCATTTGTACAAAATAAATTTCAGTTATATATCTCAATAAAACTTTGAAGAGATATTTGTTTCGTAAACTCTATCTGTATATAGCTCTTACAGTATGAAAATAGAAAATATTTTTTTTCATTCTCAAAATACGTGGCTTCAAAGTACCACATTCACAATACTGACACAAAAGGAAGGACGGGATTACATCAGGCCACAGTCTCTCACTTCATCATATGAGCTTGGTAATTCCTACGCACAAAGGACCTTCGGTGGGTGCGGGGAGATATCTCAGCAGGGGAACACCATTCATGGGGAGGGTACATCTCTTCCAGGCCGATGTCGGGTAGGCGGACAGCGTGCGGGTGATAGGCCCGGCTGGCCTCCGGGGGAATGCGGCCGTAATCCAGCTGGTTGGAAGATTCCGTGCGGCTTGAAGTGCCCGGTTCGGTGTCGGACTCGGAGCCAAAGCTGTCGTACTCTTCCGTCGGGCGAGTCCTCTTGCTGCGTCGGTACTCGCTCCTCAAAGACTAGTGCGGGAAAGCACACACACAAATCAGTTACCGTTCTCGAAAATCATTTTAGTTTTAGGACAGTGTGACCATTACTTGTACAGTTTCGTAAGAGTTATTTATCAAATACATCATAAACCTTTTTTCAGCAGCACTCGGCCATCTTCAGAGCAAGTGTAGGGCGGCTGACGTCCAAACTATTTCCTTAGCCCGCAGATGCCACGCAACTGAACCGAGGATGATCACAGTGCAGCCGAAAAAGGTTTATGCTAAATTAAGTATAGTGGAACTACGCCTAAGATTTTACTTTCTTCTTTCGAACACAGATTTTCTAGTTTCTCATATTGCATGTTAACGTTTTACTGCAGGAAAGCTTCAGAAATCACAAGAGTTTACAGGCACATTGCGCGAGTGCTACAGTTGGCAGTTGTGACTTGCTTATTTCCGGCGTAGTCCCGCCTACCGCGTTCCAAAGTGCAGTAGGTTGCACAATCACATGTTGGGAATTTAGTTCGGCTACCAGCGTAAATCCTTAATCAGAGTAACGATTATGAAAGTTGAGAGTTACTCCGTTTTCTTTCTTCGTCGGAAATAAGAACGTCGCCAGGATACATTTAGAGAAAAATACATCCACGTCCGAGACGAGATTTGAACACGGATATATTTTTGCGAGATATTGTGTCAATCTATCATCAGATTCATCAACCAGGTAGGTGTTTAATTTAATTACATTATTCTGAATCATGTCAAAATTTCAATCTTTTGTTTAAATTTTCAGTATTATTTTAGTCGAAAGATGTTCACAAACTCAATTAGGAACGAAATCAACATAATTTATTCATTATTTCTTAGAAATTTTATTTATAAAAAAAATAGATTGTAAATATTTCAGAAAAAAAACAGAAATTAAATTCTGTCTTAGTCAAAAAATAATCCAGAAGTACTACAAATTAACACAAATGTAAAAGGAGCTTTTGAGGCTAGAATTCCAGTAAAATTGCGTGAATTAGTGTCTTGAGTTCTATTAACTATACTAACATCATGCGTTCTCTTGCATCAAATGCATATTATAGCAAAAATATTCTGCCATTCACCGAATAAACTTCGGAAACGTTTCTGAGGTGACACAGTAAACAACATGTCAAACTGGAATCTCACAGTAATATGAGCAATGTGCCCTGTCTTATTACATTCACTACTATCGGAAACATCAAAAGAATAGATCTCGTTCTGGATGTTTATGTTCCCATTCGAATGGTCTTTCGACTCTCCTTACATCTATACCTGCTGAAACTCCACCCATGGATAAACACAAGTGATAGTTACAATATAACCAAGAGCATGATTAATTTTCGTTAATTGTAAATTTCTCTTGTTCAAGACCGATTATTTACTTCGAAGCGTGTATACGAATTTGGCACATTCTTATCAGCTAACGACTGAAGAATGAAGGTGGGCCTCGATTCTTCTACAAACTCACTGTGCACCTCAGAAACCGAAACGCAGTATCTTAAAAACATTAACACAAATCAGCGTGAAAAGTACACACATACGCGAAATGTTACAGAAAAGCACGCTCATTAGTAAGAAACTGAATGCTTAAAAATGTAATTTACATACATTCAAACATTATGCTGGCGTACCCACCCTTTCGTTCAGGACGACGGCCTTTGGCAGGTATAAAACAATTAAAAAAGGAAATAGTTTACAATAAAAGAATATTCAGTTACATCTGTGCAAACAATATGATTTATATTCGATTGTAATTTAATTTAAAATTTCTCATGAAAATGTCAACAGACTTACCCTGCGAGTAGACATTTCCCTCTCCCGGTAAGCAAAGGTCTGTAATTTCGTGCTCTCCGTCTTTGGGGGTGCAGGAACGTGGAACGTAGCATAGGGCCGTATTTCATCAGAATATTCTGTACGGAAACAGACAAAAATCAATTACAAACAAACAATACAAGAATTAGACATTCGTGTAAAGGCATTATTTGATTCCAAACCCAATTCATTATCCCTGAAGATTGTCACAGAGCAACAAAAACCTTGTGATTGAAATAATGAATTTTTAAAAGCAATGCCTAATCCGATACTATTATTATCCAATCCAATGATCCAATGATATCCAATGATAATATAGATATAGAAAATTCCAATACTTTTGTCGCGTCTGTGTTTAGATTCTCTCGATCTCCTTTTATCTCCCCTCCCTTTCTAACACTCTCTCCCGATCTCTTCCTTTCCGTCTCTTGCTCTTTCCCTCTCTCGGATGCCGCTAGAGATCCAAATGATCCCAGATCGGACTATGAGCAGACATTAATGTACTCAATATTATCGTATAGGGATGAAGCATCCGCCAAATGGCAGGTCTAAAAGATGACAAGATGACGGTGGAGGAGGAGGTCAGGCAGGGGGAAAAAGGATCTTGTGCGAAGAATTCTAGAGCAACCCACTAATCCAGCTATTCAACTGATGTCGATAAATCTACCACCAACAGCGCTCGAACCTATGACCTTTTAGCCGCTGAGTCGCGACTACATTCGCAAACACACCCGATGTCTTCCGATACAAGATGTATGTGTGTGTGTGTATGTTTTGTTCTTGTTGACCACCTGTCGACTCAACCCCCCGAGCGGCGAACTACTGCACTCCCGAAAACAAAAAACACTGCAACTTGTCGGCACTCTCTCTTTCTCCGAAGGAGCGTTCTACCCCACAACGCACGAAACACTACCGACGGACGTGAAGAAAAAAAACATCTAGGTTAATAACTTGGCATCTAAATATTTTTGTTTCATTGAGAGTCAAAACATCTTGTGAATTTCAACTTGCATCTTATACGAACGCCGTTACAAAAGATATCTCAAAATTAATGTGACAAACTTCTAGGGCATAGTTGGGTCGAAGATGGTCACGTTTTGTCAATGAACATATGGCGAGAAGAGTGATGTAACGAAGTTGCACATGGAACATTTGCCGATGTAGACACTGTCGCATGATGTTTGACAGGTACACGTTTTGACGCAGTCAAATATTTCCTAATCTCGCGGCTTGACTATTTGACGATGCCTGCTGCGCCTACATGGTTGCGTACCGGGAATGCATTCCAGAGTCTCAGGTGAGGGAGGAATCTTGCGTACTGACGCGTAGTATTCCTCGTTGTGGGTCATCTCCTTCCGGACTTCTTGCACGGGCATCTGCATCACTTCTTGGGGTTCCGAGCGGGTTGGCCGGCTGCCGCGAGTAGCGCGTGTGATAAGCCCTCCTACAATTTGACAAAAAGACGTCAAGTTGGAAATAAGCCAGCACAAAACGTAATATTTGGGGGAAATATTTATTTAACGCCAAAAAAAAACAGTTAAAATTTGTACAACGTACTGCGGAAACATGTAAATGGTCATACAATAGTGCATTATGAGTGCATGGTTGATATAAATATTAATTCATAAATGAGGAGCATCAGATTTAAGCAGTAAATCGCAAGAGATAATTCATACTTAAAATGAACTCGAAAGCTAGATATAATGGCATAAGGCGTAGTGGGAATTTTTGATGGGTGTAATTCCCATGTAGTTTGAAACTGGATTTGTGATACTTTTCTAATGTTCTAATATCTTAATATGTGTGATCAAAATGTATGATAACATTTACCTGGAATAAAATACATGCTGACAAAGAGTGTATTGCGGGCAAGGTACAGAAGTGAACTAAAAAAGCACAAGTAAGCTGTAGTAGTACTGAAAATACAAATAAAGGTGTATTTTTTTTAAGGTTGAGATTCAAGTCATAAGGCCTCCTTTTCTGCCTGACTGTCAGTGTTTTATAAAACATCTCGTTTATTTCATTACGTTTGTACCGTATAAGCAACTGTTGAAAAATAATTTTCTCCGGCAATTTTCTTCTCTTTTGAGTTTTGAGAATCTTTGAGATTTATAAGTGAAACATTTACAGAAAAATTAAATACAAAATAAAGAAAGAAAACAAAAAGAAGAAATATGTAAGATGACAAATGGAAGAGTACTAATCAACGTATTGCCTGGAAAATATTTGAAATGTACACCTCATTTTCTTTCCAAGTTTACGTTCTTTCCAAGTATTTAATGGAGCTGGTCAACAAAATACTCACCTAAGAACGCGCGCTTTTTCCAACAGAAGCAAACAGAAAAGAAACTGAGACACGCCGTGGCCAGTGAAGCGACGGTTAGCAGCAATACCCTCAGATTCCAATTCAGTTCGTGATCATTCCGGGACACTTCTTGACTAGGTCCCATGGCTCCTACAAGAAAGGCAATTTCACGAAAACCATCTAGAATATTTTCCTTGAAAAAAGGATAAGGCAGAATACTGAAAAAAATTCTAACGAATTTTTTCTATACGATGGAAATTAATTCTTTATAGACTCACCTACTTGATCGCTAAGAGTTTTAAACTTATATTTCGTGATTGTTGAACCAGCAGAATTGTGAGCCGTTATTCGAAGCTTGTAGGTTTGTCCTGGAGTCAAGCCCACCAAAGGATATACGCTTGTGTCTCGAATGTTATTTCCAACTGAAAATAAAAACAAAACTGACACTGTGATGTGTTTATTACTTATAAGAATACAAAATAAAGCGCATAATAACTAAACTTAACTTCTTATCTATATGACTAATTTCCAATGCGTGTAAAAATTGAAATAAAACTATGCAGCTTTCGGCCATGAGGAAGGCGCCTAAAGTTTTGTTAGATTGAATTGATGCCTTATTTTACGTGGCGAGACTCGTGCCATTAGGCCCGCTCTTCCTTCTGACCTAGCAAATTTCGCTACGCTTCTTTTACGCACGAGCTAGAAAGGAGGTATCACGGGCGACGAAACAGGAGATTTGAATTTAGCTCAGAGGCTTCATTTAGGCTTGAGGATCTTTTACATGCAGTAAATCTACTAACATAGGACAGCCGGCTTTACTTTCGAAGGAAGGCGTACGAAGGATTATTATTATATATATTAGATAGCCAGAAACGCAGGAGAAATACAAAAACAATGAAGCAGTTTCGATTTTGACTGAATAAACGCAAATGTTTGATGGCGTTATTCCACCTATTCTAATACTGCGTGTGTCGACTAAATTTTCACTCTCAATGCATCACATCTCAGCTTACGATGCAGCTTAGATCGTGCGACAGCAAAGTTCGAAAGAAGATGCAACCCGCCATTAAATATTTGTTATTCATGTGTTGCGTTGTGAAACCGCACCTTTTTTTTATATCCGTGGTACGTGAAGAACAGCTGTACTGTGTATACTACTATCCTATGTTATAGAAATTAGCGAATAATGTGTCTATATTTTGATTCTTCTATCTATTGGAAAGTAGGTTAAATATATTGACATCACGGATTCCCTCTCGTGAACCGATAGGGATACACTAAAATGAGGGGTTAGGATGCGAACAGCAACAACTTATATGTTTAATTCACGATCTATCTGAGCTCTAAAAACACTATCGATTTCACGAAACAAATGTGTACCCTATATATTTCAAAAAAATGGAAGATGGCGCGAATTTCGTCAAAATTACTCAGATTACTTTTGTTTCAGCGTAACTTTGATATCTTCATTTTCCTTCATAGTTCATGACAACCAAAAGACCTGAAAACATTAACAAATCCAGTAAAAACGCACAATTAGAACGCACACACACACACACACACAATACACAGCTTCCCTCACTCGTTCACACTACGTCGTAATGGCGCATATCACCACGCTTGGCCGGAAGCGGCCATGGCCGGCCACGTAGCGGCCGGATAAGTCACCCGTGAGCATCAGAGTGCTCTCAATTCGATGTTCTATTATTGGCGAATTCTTTATGTGTTTCTCATATATTCACAGGTATTTCTCAGTGTTTTTTTACTAATAGCATTAAAACATCTATAAATGTTGTCTGTACATATTCAATTCTTCTCTAAAATATTAAAAATGCATTAGTTTTTTAAAATTTGTTTGTTCATCTGCGCATCTATCGATGACTGAACGCCTGACCACTAGGTGTAGGACAGGTTCGAAAAATATGTTAACTTCTAAAAAGGTAGTGAAAAATTGAACTACGCCATACTTAAAAATTTAAATACGCTTCCTTTTATTTGAGCAATAAATTTAAAGAAAAAATTGCAACCATTAAAAAAACTAAAAATGTCACTGGGTTGTTGGGCAGAGTACCCTGAAAAATTAAAATATCTGGATGATTCTAAAATAACTAAACTCTAGTTTTCCTGTGTTTAGCGTATTTGAGCTCAAAACTGTCTAACCTGAGGGAGTTTTTCGTGACATCTTTCCATCTGGGCACACACAAATATTCCCATTTGAGGTACAAATCTGTGTGAATACCGTGTGAATACTGTGTGAATACCGTGCGAATACCTTGCCACTAGAACCAATCTTAACCATATTCAGGATAGCCGTCAAAGACCTTAATACTGACGTGTGTGAAAAGTTACAGTAAAAAAATCTTAAACACGGATTTTACTGCCAAAACGTCTAGAGCGTATTGATGTAATTGTACTTTACAATACATTATTCAATTATACAACGCATTTTCGTACTAGGCTGTGCTGGCGCAAATAATTTGGGCTGTTACTAAGCATTTTTTGTATTTTAGAAAATTAGAATAAAATAAAGTAATATTATACACGACATTAAAGTTTTTTTAGCTACTCGACAAATACCTCCTACTCGCTAACGTCGCTAGTGAGGTAATGCCTTCCTCTCGTCGATAATATATCTTAATCGTCTTATAAACTAACTAATTTTATAAATTAGTATTAATTGCATGATTCAATGTTTTATTCTACTCTGAAAGTTCTTTTTTACACACACCGCAATAGTATTCAGGGATTTAGGGTTCATGCCATTCTTATACGTGAAAAATGAAACCATAGGCGTACTTCCATTCTAATTATTTCATGGCGTTTAATGCCGAATTGCTGTCAGTACCGTCTCAAATTTTAAGACCCAAAGACCAGACAAAAAAAGGAAAATAATAAAAAAATAGAATTCCGCCTGAGATTTCACTTTGTAGGCTTCATCACCAAAACATTACAACCTACATGACAAAATAAAAAAAAAATATAAAAAAAAGCGTGCACTCACCGACTTCCCAGTGGTCCTCCTTGCCGGGGATGTAGTGCGAGTACTCGACGACGAAGTAGAGCAGCGGGCAGCCGCCGTCGGGCCACGAGTGGAAGTTGATGCCGACGGACGTGAAGTTGACGGCGAGCAGCTCGGCGTCGGGCGGGATGAGCGGCACGGCGCCGCGCGTGCGCACGTTGAGCGTGGCGCTGGGCTCGCTCGTGCCGACGCGGTTGTACGCCGTGATGAAGACGTGGTAGCGCGTGCCGCAGCGCAGCCCGGCCAGCGAGTGCGTGCGCGCCCCGCCCTCCAGCTCCACCTCCTCCCACTCGCCGTGCTCGTACTTGTAGTGCAGCACGAAGCCCCGCACCAGCGTGCCGCCCGTGTCGCCGATCTTCCACTGCAGCTGCAGCGAGTCTTGCGAGCCGCCGGTCATGAGGAGCACCGGCGCGCTGGGGGGAACTGCGAGCACACCCACACAATCCCTGTTCGCGTGGAGACTAGAGCAATGGAGCCCTACCTCACTATGCCCACGAACACCGTCACAGAGCCTGCACCTCAATTTGAACCCCCGAGTGAACAAACTCTTCAGAATTAGGTGAAAGCAACTCCGTGTGTGTAGAGTCTACAGCATTGAGCCCTACCTTATTACGCCCACCGAAACCTGAGAGTCTGAACCTCACCATGGACCCCGTGTGGAATACCTCTTCGCAATTAGATGAAAGCAACCCCGTCCGTGGGGAGACTAGAGCAATGGAGACCTACCTCGTCGTGCCCACGGACTCCGTCGCAGAGCATGCCCCTCAACATGAACCACCGAGTGAACAAACTCTCCAGGGCCGAGTGAACAGACTCTCCTCTCCTAGGTGAAAGCAACTCCCTGTGAGTCTACAGCATTCAGCCCTACCTTATTACGCCCACCGAAACCTGAGAATCTGAACCTCACCATGAACCCCGTGTGGAATACCTCTTGGCAATTAGATGAAAGCAACCCCGTCCGTGTGGAGACTAGAGCTCTGTAGCCCTATCTTATTATACCCACGGACCCTTTCTCATAGCCTAAACCTCACCATGAGCTCCCGAGTGAAATAACTCTTCACAAATAGATGAAAGGAAAATGACTGTCATGGAGCACCAGAGAGCTGCGGAGCACTGAGGACACGCAGCTGCTCTCCATCTGTACGGAGACTAGGGTACTGGAACCCTTCCTTACTATGCCCACGGACCCCTTCTCAGAGTCTGGACCTCCCCATGAACCCCCGAGTGAAATAACTCTTCACAATCAGATGACAGCAATCCCTTCCGTGTGTAGACTTGAACGCTGGAGTTCTACTAGATTATGCCCACTGTTTTGGCATAAACAGATAGGGCGGCGGCAGTAGCCCAGCGGCGCATCGGAGAGGCTGGTGGCACACTGGCACCGGCCGACTGAGCGTCGGGCCCAGCAATGGAAGGTGCTGGGAGGCGCCGCTAGGGGGCAGGGCGGCAGCGGCGGCCGGGCCGCCCATTGAGCCGGAACGACGCGGGAAAAAGGGAGACTCGCTCCGCAGGCTCGGGAACTATAAAGCGGCCGCCCGCGGGGCCGGTGAGAGTGACGATGCGAGTGCGGCGAACGAGCGCAGTGAGCGACGAGGTGCCAAGGCCTATTTGACGTGCAGTGTTGGTAACGGTATTTCTCCGGGTGGTTGATGATTAGTGTTTGTGAAAGGGATCTCTTCTGAAAAAGGGTGAACTGGCTTGTACTTGCTTTATGCTTTTGGATTCGGAATAATGAACCTGCATTGTTGATACGAACTGTTGTGTTCTAAATTGTTCCTTAATATACAACACCCACGGTCATCTCAGAGACTGGACTTCGCCATGAATCCCTGAGTGAAATAACTCTTCTCAATTAGATAAAAGCAATCCCGTCCTTGTGGAGACTAGGGCATTGGAGACTTACCTTATTATGCTCACGGACAGCTCAAAACCGGAAACTCACCATGGACCCCATGTGAAGTAACTCTTCACAATGAGATGCAAGCGACTTCGTCCGTGTACAAAACTAGAGCACTGGAGCCCTACCTTATTATGCCCTTCCCAGACCCTGATCCTCACCATAAGCTCCAAGTGAAATAACCATTCAAAATTAGATGAAAGCAACCCCGTCCGTGAGCCCTACCTTATTATGCCCACGAGAGAGTCGCAAATGCAGTTCACGTCTTGTGAAAACTAACATCGAAGAAAAACGTCCGTGTTTAAGACGGTCGTTTAATAAAACCTGCCAAACCGAACGTACAATTCAAAGCAGGTAAACATCCTAACTACCGCCACGCAGGACGTTTCCTTAACGCCAACCTTGAACGACGAGCTGGTACGCGATGCGGTCGTTGCCCTGGTCGTTGTACACGCTGCAGGTGTACTCGCCCTGGTCGGTGCGCTGCAGGCTGTGCAGGATGAGCGTGCCGTCCGGGTGGATCTCGGTGCGCGGGTTGGGCACGACGGGCGTGTCGCCGTCGCGCCGCCACTGGCGAGAGGGCGGGGGCAGCCCCACCGTCTGGCACGGCAGGATGATGTCGCCCTTCCACCCGGCCACGCGGGTGCCGCCAAACGACACGATGCCGGACGTCACTGGAAAGCGGGGCCGACGTGTCATTCATTGATTCATAGTGATTCCGGGCGCGCCAACGAATTTTGAATTGAATTGAATGCCTTATTTTACGTGGCGAGACTCAGGCCATTAGGCCTGCTCTTCCGTCTGACCACGCAAATTTCGCTACGCTCCTTACACCAACTAGCGGTGAAGGATGCATATCTTGGGCGAGAAACCGGCGATTTGAATTTAGCTCAGAGGCGTCATTTAGGCTTGAGGATCTTTTACATGCAAGTAAATCTACGAACATGAGACAGCCGGCTTTACTTCCCCTCCGAAGGAAGGCGTATGAAGGATTTTTTCGCCCTTAAAAATCCACGGCTTCGATCGGGTTTGAACCCGCCAACTTGGGTCAACAACGAATAGGGTCATAAGTCCCGCAAGTGTAGTGCATGTTTCTCTCTCTCTCGGGAGGTGGCGGTCTTCCTCCGTGGAGGGAAAGATCTGGCTCCGACTCGCTGTCGGCTAGATTGATAAGAGAAGACGATGTGTGGATTAGCGATACTATCTACATAGCAAAGGCGAATTCTAGCGGTCGTCTGAGCTGATCGGTAGTTTTCCTTGTTTTTTTCTACCAATACCAGGCGAATGAATTTAATTCAATTAATGCCTGAATTGAATTGAATTAATTTACGTGGCGACACTCAGGCCATCAGGCCCGCTTTTCCGTCCGACCATGTAAAATTTCCCTACGCTCTTTTCACCAACTAGCAGAGGAAGGAGGTATTTCAGGAGGAGAAACAGGCGATTTTTGACTTTAGCCCAGAGGCGTCATTTAGGCTTGAGGATCTTTTACATGCAAGTAAATCTGCCAACATGGGACTTTACTTCCCCTTCGAAGGAAGGCGTCCCTCGGAAGGATTTATTCGCCCTTAAAAATCCACGGCTTCGATCGGGATTGAACCCGCCAACTTGGGTATACCAAGCGTTACACCATCGCCGAGCGCATGAAGGAGTATGCCATGGAACAGCCATGCACCGCGCGCGATCTTCCCTTCCTCATTCTGGTCCCTATCTTTACCCCTTACTTACACTTACATCCACTACAATACCACACATGTAGGTAAATCAGTCGGGAAGTTACCGCTTGCCCGGCTGGGACGGTACCCGCCGGTGGAAGATATCTGAAGGTATTTGAAGAGGAAAGGGCGAGGAATCTTAAACGACACGCACTTCCGAGAAACCTCAGAATTATTTTTACGCCCACACGCTGCAAGATACGTACGATCCAGTTTGCATAATTATCTTTTAAAGTAATTAACAATATTTTTGTAATAAATTCTTGTATATATTTTGAGCCAGGATGGTGATTACTACGCGATCGAAAGATATCAAGCATTAAATTTATTGATATTTATAAATATTTTTTCTCAGCTCATTGAAGGATTCTGAATACATTACTTAGTGTCAATTTGATTAGAAAAGATACGTAGGTAACGTAAACAAAATACGTATTTATGCATAAACGATACAAAACCATTGGTGTCAATAAGAGTTCTTTCTTCAATTGATCTCAGAAACATTATACTTTAAATTAAGTTCTCAATGATATTATACACCTGAAATATTTCATATTACGGTTAAAATTTGATATCTTTATAAGGCTCAAAAACCAAATATTTTTTGGAACTCTGTTCTTACGGTTTTTAGGTCGCTTGTTAATAACTTGGTCTTATAGTGACCCCTGTGATTGTTTTAACCGTTGGGGGATCTGTAAAAAGAACACTTATTTACATCACAAACACACACAAAATCCATGACCGAGGCGGGATTCGAACTCACGACCCATCGAGCCCGGGCAGCTACTGTCTGCACATTCGGTCTTTGCGACCTCGGCTATCCAGACGGCATTATTACGTTTATTGGACAACTTTGTTTGAAGCAAGCTGAATTTTTTTAATTCACATCTATCATAACATTATTTCTACGCTGCAATTCTTCTGCGTCAAATGTAGATTATGTACATTTGCATGGTACAATCGATAAGAAAATAGAAATTTAGACAGAATAAAACATTTTCTACTCTAAATCATTATCACTAAATCATAACTTGAAATAAAAGTAAAGCACAAAATTTTATTATTGATTGATGTTTCGTCTTACATTTTGTTGCAGGCGATATGGCAGCAACCGTGGAACTCTTTCCTTCTCCTATTCTTGTGAATGCTGTCACCCAAAATTCGTAGCGACGCTGTCTGTTAAGGTCGGCGTATCTGTGCTGTAGATGAGTAGTTGACGTGTGTGGGACAGATCGAGCATCTATTTGCCGTCCGTCCTCCAGGACACGGACGTAAATATTATACTTAGTTATCACTCCATTTGGTTGTTTAGGTGGAAGCCATGCTATTAGAGTCATTTTGTTCGTAATAAGCACACTTTTAATATCACTAGGAGCTCCTGGAACTACAAGAAACAAGAAAGTTAGGAAAATTAACGTCATTCAATCGTAATATTTATTTTAAAATCACGTAATATTTGCAAAACGCATGCACTAAAATAATAACAGCCTTTTAAATAATACATTTTTAAAGTATTACTTTAAAAATTCAGTAACATTAGCTTCATACTTATTTTTATTGTTTTCAGTTTCATCTTACCTATTGTGTTACAGCATTCCATATCAACAGTTACTTTTTAGCAAGTCAACGAGAATTAAATAAAATCCTACACATAAATACATAGAATGAACATACATAAACAAAATAACAATTTCATGCAAAATACAAACAAATTGGCGAGCGTAACAACTAATAAATACGTCATTCATATACTCATTATTCATTTTCACTTACCATCTTCTGATGTTCGACAATACATTGGATGGGATTTTGCCCCATCTCCGACTCTCGTAAACGCAATTAGCTCAATACTGTAATTCGTATATTTGAACAAATTGTGTAAAGTTGTTGTGAGAGCAGTCGTAGTTTTTGTTCGAGATTGCATCATTTCTGAAAAAAAACAAAACACATTGCACATAATACCAGTGATTTAGTTGGATCGGAACGCGCTCCCAAGAATCTTTTTCTTTAGAATACTACAAGATTTAATATACTGAAGCAAAACTGTTTACCGCCAAGAAGAGTGGCCAATGTACACTGCAGGGAATCATAGTCCATTTTTCCACTGCTGAATTAGTGAAACGAGTTCCGGTAGATACATTTTCCCGACTAATCACAGCATAGCACGCATATTTACATAAAAACAATTAGGACTGACACAGATGCACTGATTATCGATTTCTAATTTCATTCGCCTATAGCTTACTTAAATTATGAAATTTATCAATTAAAATTTGAATTATATAAATTATAGATAATGAATTATATAACTTTATATTATCTTTATTAATATTAACAGACAATTAAATATGAGGGCTGTTCAAAAATTAATGATAATAGGGACCCTGAGGAAACATGTGTTTCGAAGGGTGGCACCACTGAATACCATCGTGTAAGCTATTTGCTTCGCCAACAATACTTTTATTTTCATGTTGACCGGTGTAGTGAGTAAACGTATGTGTCACTTCACGTAACGCCAGTTAAATATTCGCCTACCATATCCGGCATGGATAAAAAGTTAGAGCGTTTTAACGTGAAATTTTTGGTGAAACTCGGGAAGAACCGAGAAGATATATTTGAGTTATTGACTAAGGTGTATGGTGAAGATGTTATGAACCACGTGACCTTGTACAAGTGGTATAAAGCGTTCGAGGACGGTAGAAAGAGCATCAACGATCTGAGAGAGGGGCGACCTTCAAGGTCTCCCGCCGCTGTTGTACAGAATACAGCTGACGCTATTATTCGCGAAGATCGACAAACGACCATTACAGAGCTTGCATTGCAGTCTTAGACATTTCCATCGTCAACACATTTTCGATTGTGCACGATAATTTGGTCATGCGAGCGTATCATGCAGATAGGTGCCGCGATTTTACTGCATCATAACGTGTCGAGACAGCACGTCGTTCGCACTGTAGTGGATTTCTTGAACGTTGGAGGAATCGCAACTGTACCTCATCCACCGTACTGTCCAGATTTGGCTCCTTCTTCCGACTGTTCTCTGAATTCAAATTTCCGCTCACGGGATGGAAATTCAAGGATAAACACGAGGTCATCAAAGCAACGGAGGCCCGCTGCATGGAGGTGGGGAAAGATGGCCTGGCGTTCGAGTTCAAAAAGTGGCTGGAACGAGGCTACAATGTTTTGGAACTGACGGCGGTTACTTCGAAAAAGAGTATGTAAATTTAGAAGATTGAATGAATATTTTCATTCTGTAGAGCGTTTCATCATTACTTTTTTAACAGCCTTCGTAGATGAGACAAAATGTATACAATTGTGGTAAATATTAATAACTACTAGGAAATTTCATTGTCCAATTTTCTCGAGGGATATTGCGAAAACCTCATGAAAATTCAGAATTATTTCTTCTCTTAATGTTAGAATACTACTGCTCTGCATCCATAGTGGGATAACAGAAATATGTTTTGTTAGGAGACGCATGTGATAATCCAATTTAAGGTATGAATTGCAATGGTGTCACTACACTGCCGCTATAATTTTACAAAGAATGAATCGGTAAGCACAAATTCATTGAAAATCATATTTATTCCTAATAATAACTTATTGTTAATTTTTTTAGTTATGCTATTTTTGCAGTAAGCAAATTAACTCATAGACTTCTGTGTACTATTCTTATTTACAAACACATTGTTTCCTTTCGTGTCTATAAACAAACAAGATTTTAGAAATACATGCGGTATAACATGTCAAATCGAGATATATTTTTTTGAAATATAGGTCGCTAGTAGGCTGAATATAGCCTACCTCGTTATTTAACACAGTCATTTCCAAGTAAATCCTCTTTAATTTCCAGATGACCTAAATCTTTTTGCGGAGACAAGCACGCCAGCTATAGCTTCTACAACGGTAGGATCTCCCATTACGATGTATCGGGTAATACAAAACATAAGGCGAAAGTTAGTAATTTCTAATAAGAGAATCGTCATATCTCTCAGGTACAGGCTACTAATTCTTGATGATGATGACGATGATGATGATGACGATGACGATGACGATTGCGATGACGATGGCGATGACTATGACGACGACGTCGCCGTCAACGAGGACGAGATATGGAGCTCTTTAGCGCAGATTGATTATCTGAACATTTTAAGAAGAGTACTTTTAACTTGCCGGGCGTCAATTCATTGCCCAGAGTTTCGTGTTTTTTCAAGATCGTTTTCAAGATGAGAAGCAAACTCTTACTTAACTGGTTGATCACTTGGAAATGGCTGGTTTAAATATGGAGGAATATTAAAAATGAAGATTATTAAGGAAACGCAATAGCTTCATACAAATGTACGATTTCTGGGTTTTTGTGGGTCAAGATGTATCTATTGCATACACATGCTTTCGGCTCTCGGTTCTCGCGTTCCACTCTTAGTGTTCTCTCATTTTCCTGAGCAAATAATGAACAGAAGCTACACATGGCATCACCGTCACATATTTAGTCCCCGAGCCCCATCTCTTACAGGTGTATTTTCCCTGATATTTTGTCACTACGTTTCTCTTATACGAGGTTGTCAAGATTGGCTTGTCTCCATTATTCAAATTTAATTATAGTGCTAGAGCGACGGTAAGGATCATGGAGCTCTTAGAAACGTACACAGATGCAACATCGTCCCCAAACGCTACACAGTTTGGCCTGTTTTTTGACGTTAAATAAATAAAGTTACTATTACGCATAATGTCAGCCATGACCACCGTACTATGTGGACTTTCTTAACCAAATTCTTATTTCACACCTCGAATTTTCAAATTCTCCCACAAAAATAGTCCACCGCTACACAGAATGAAATCTTTACAATTATCACTACCATCACCACCACTACCACTATCACCGTCACCTTTCACTATCACTATCACACTCACCGTCATCTTCCGCTCCAAACTCCACCATCAGTCCAAACAGTCCTCCACCTTGGAAAACATATGTAAGAGGTAATTAAAACGCACGCGGCAATTAAAAAGCTCGCCACACCCGCCGAAACGCGCACCTACCGTTTTCCGTTGGGGGCAGAATGGGCTCGTATATCAGTCGGTAGCCCTGGATGACGCCGTGAACCAGCGGCTCGGGAGGCGGCTGCCAACTCACTTGCACCGACTCGGAAGACAGCGCGGAGCAACGCACATCTCGTGGCGGTGCTTCGGGAACTGCTCCAACACAACCAAAACACACACACACACCATGGGGGTGAGTGGGTTTATGAACGGGTCAATTTAGGATCTCTGGTGCAGAAATGAAGAAATAATGGAAGTCATCTACGTCAACTTAATATATTCATTTGGAGAGTCGGCTTTCGGCGGCTTTGTCGTCATCGTGAGTCTCGCTGTGCGTGGCAAAATACGGGAGACTGTGTTAAGTTGAGAAAGATGGCAATTATTTCTTCACGTAAATACGTCAACAATACCACATCAGAATTCCCACAATTAGGATCTTTGGGTTAAGGACTGTTTCGAGTCCGAGTTCTGCGTCTCAATTGAGAGGTCTCTCGCTCTCCGATTGTAAGTCAGCAAACATCGCGTTGTGATGTCGTAGACTTCCACGGCCAGAGTCATGCTTTGTGCGGTCCTGGTGACGTCATATCGTGGTCTTCTTCAGATCTGTAGGGTTGTACTACGGTACTACAGTCCTGAAGTAGAGCACGATATAAGGTCGAAACGTCGGCACCTCAGTGTTCAACGCGGCGTCACACGGGCAGCCCAGATCACATTGCGTTGTGACCTGGTGTCCCGATTCGCGCAGTGAATTGCCTGAATCGTCCAGATTATAGAGGATGTGTTTTTTGGGAATGGAAGATGAAAGTATCGATATCGAGTATCGAATCATCGAAATCGGTATCGAATCATCAAAAGTATCGAGTCTGGATCAAAGAATGGGGACGGCCAGCATGGGAAGACAAGGATCGCCCGCGGCCTGGTCCTCGATATTCAAGGTACAGTATAACTCTCGATATTCCGAATTATGTTCAGAAAAAAATATTCAGATGTCAATTTTTCATTGTTGGGGTCTATGGCTTTTGAAAGGATCAATTAATTTTGCTATATAATACTTTTCTTCATCGCCAGTTCACACAATATTTTTAAGTTCTTTTTAGATTTTATATCGCGTAACCTCTCTTTTCCGTTATCTAAGGAAATCATGTGATACTCCGTGAAGAAGAATTCAGTAATAATAAATTTATGCTATTTATAGAGGTGGTATTTAATTTTTCCGAAAAAAATGAAGTACACTCTAACAGTTCTCGGAGGAAGTTTCGGGCAATCGGTTTACTGTCGTACAAATCCGTTTCAAGAAATCTAGTCTACTTTGCTACAAATTAAATTCAAATTCTAATTAACTACGCCGATTGCATCAGAATTATTCCAATAAGATTGAGAGTATTCATCATTTTTTGTCGGCAAAAAAGGGGTTCTTCACCTATATACTTACGAGTAAATATAAAACGACTCTGTTATAAACTCTTAAATAATTAAATATAGGTTTAGCTAAACTAATAAAATACCGTTAGTATGTTCATATTTTGTTCTACAAGTATAGAAAATAAGATATCTCACCATCTTCTAATGTGTGTCCTTGGATTTCCTCCGAGAGAGGGCCTGGTCCTCTACTGTTAAAAGCTTGAACGACTAAGCCGTATTTAGAGTACTTCTTTAATCCACCTAGACGTGCTTCTTCCTTGCCATTTCCTTTGAAATTTACAGTGGTAAAGTTGTACTGCTTCTTGTTTTCCATATCCCTGAAATAATAATTTTAATAATAAAAATAAATATTATGTAGCAGTTATCTCACGGGGTGACAAATGACGTATTTGTCAGGGACAGGTAGGAACAGATAGAAGCCGCTGATCACGTCGTCTTAGCTTGTTCAATTATAGAAATCTGTAGAGTTCACACAGTTCCAAACTGTACGAATACTCACAATAATAATAATAATAATAATAATAATAATAATAATAATAATAATAATAATAATGTCGCCCCCGCTGCCGGTCCCGTCATATTTGTGATTGTCCTTTCACCCCTCATTATTCTGTCACCTCATTATTCATAATTCAAGGCGTAATAACCTCGTCTTATCCACGGATTTAGCCGTAAAAACGTGAACCCTATAATTACAGTCATTATTCTCTCCGGGGCCTTGGACGATAGCGTGTAACGTGCTCATAAATGTCATATATGGAAACAATAATAATAATAATAATAATAATAATAATAATGCAGATGATGATAATAATACTAGAAGCACCGTGACAGTATACTAAAATGTCCAAAAAATAGTTCAAAAATAAGCCTTCCGCGGCTAAAGGGATGTGCACAGTCTTTTGGAACAAGAGGGAGGAAATTTTTATAGACTTTTTGAAACCCGATCAAACAATAGACTCTTGTCGCTACATTGCAACTCTAATCAAAATGAAGAATATAATTTACTTAGAAGAATTAATTAATTTTGCCCAGAGAAGAAGACGTCTTTGCTCCTACGGCATGATATGCCATACCAGGCTGTCGGCCATCAATCCCATTTCCAAATGTTGACTGTCGTACCACACTCACAATATGTCCGGATTTGGCACCTTTAAAATCCCTCTTCCTCGGGCCAATAACGAACGAATTACGGGGACACCGCAACTTAACAACGGTGGTGTCGAATGAACTGTTAGTTCATTCATCACCTCGGTTGGTACAGACTTTTACGAGCGTGATATACAGATCATTGGTGGGGAAAATGCGTAGAAACAAGAGCGACTATATTAAACACAGGAACATAACATTACGGGAGATGAAAGTAGTAATGAAAAATAAAAGAACAGGCACAAATAAATGCTTAGGACGTTACTCGATCGCGCAATCTCATAACACTTATCACAATATTACAAGATTAAAATAAAAGAGAATTATACCGTTGAGTAAAAGAACGTGCAACTAATATTAGAGAATGTATCACGAAAATAAATTCGGTCACACAAAATCGGATTAACTTTGGCGTTTTTTATAATTTAAAATCTAATTTTCAAATGTTTCGATTCTTGATAAAGAAACAAATATTTTCCAGACAAATTTCGAAAACAATTTATTTAGTAATATTTATGATTTTATAATTTTTGGAAAAAGGTATTTAAGTATTATTTTATTTTGTAATTAAATCATTACATATATTTTCTCTTCCTTGAATTAAAAATTTCTTCCCTTTCTTCCACCATTTTTAATTGGATTGTCAATGGTATCAAACTATTTTTGTTTAAAAATGATATCCTCAGATTAATAGACGAATGTTAAAAGATTCATTCAGTAAAACATGTCCATTGGTTTTGTTCTTTTTTTGAACTTTCTTTTTGTATTCAAAATGTTCAACATATTCTGGGTAAGCTCGTACCTTTTATTTGTTGTTTGATTTATTGGTTGACTGATTCCTTTTAATATTTAACAATCCACCAACAACGTGGTCAACAAGTGTTCTGACAGGAAACGATCAATTACTTTGTATCAATTTTATAATGGGAACTGAAGCAACTTTCTCAGCGTTTCTACCGTGGTTCTTTATCAACATTCCACATGTGTGCAATGGTCATGGAATCGCCCTACATAAAATATGTGAATAATGATTTTTTGAGTCTGTATACTACCAATGATACGTAATCTCAATTCTTCGAAATGAGGGTGGTGCTTCTCAATAAATGTCCTACTCTATTTCAGAGTGGAAGATCACCATATCTATCATGATGACAATCCTCTTACGATACTGTTTCCTTTTCCTTCCAAAAGATCTCACATATAGCACCTCACGCACTACGTTAGCTTCACGCACATCAAAATTACCACCCCCTCTCACAAATAACACGCGCACACCTTTCACAATATACAATAAAATTGAGTTGAGGTTAGTAAGACGTTAAACCATACCTTGGTATGCACTAACGTTTAGACTGGAATAACGATGGATCTTCTTCCGCCTATGTTAGTCCGGACTAAAAAGAACTATGAATACGGGCGAGTATATTTTCAGTCGGTATCGATACATTCCACAGGAATGCGACGTGAACCACAAATATTCATCTCGATCAGGCTGTTCGTCTTTTTTCCTCCTATCCGTTGTGCAAATGCTCAAATGGCCTTTGTTTTGCTTCTGAACATGAATGTAGGTTTACTATTTGTGCACGTTTTCGTGAGCCAAGTGGGGAATGTAATAAACCAAAAATCGTTCTCCATGTTTTTGCTTCAGTATGTGATTATGTGATTCCTTCACGTTGGGCACGAGAAGAAATGAGCCCAAATCTGCGGCTCATTTGCTGAAGCAAATATTTTTCATTACATGGGCACAAATTTTGTCTTATAATTAAATCTTGTCGAAAAGTTTGTTGCTACTTGAATTCATAATTAAACGTAAAATAGTGCAAGAGCTAAAGCAGGAGTTGAAGAAAACATGCGCAGATCCCACTTAGTCTCCATAGTACGTCACTCACAGATTTTAACTGTTTAGTTTTGGCAATTAAAACATAAATAAATAATTATGTGCTGGCAAAATGATATAAGTAAAATTGTCATGAAATGAAACACAAAAGGACATAAGTCACTCTTGTTTGTCAATATTTAGGGTGGCAAATGATGCATTCCTCTTGTAATTTATGAAGAAAAGAAGGTGGCAAATTGCAATAAGACAAAAGCCACTGAGTAATTTTAATGACATCTTGATGCTTAAAATTGCTGACATATTTTTTTTTAAAGTGACTTATAACATTTTGCAATTTTAGCACAGTATTTATCTAAAACTCCGTCTAAGACGGGACTTACCCGATGTAGCGGTAGCCGACGTAGTGGCCCAGGAGCGGGCCGTTCCACTGGTCGAGGGCCGGCGGGTCCCAGTTGAGGATGAGCTGCGTGGAGCTGAGGGCGTCCACCGAGAGGTGCAGCGGGCCCCCGGAGGGGGCTTCCTCGTCCGTCCTCACGAGGATCTCGTGGCTGGGCGTGCCCGGGCCGAGGGTGTTCTCCGCCACGACCTGGATGCTGTACGTCGTCGCCGGGCTCAACGGGGAAATGACGGCGGTGCTCTGTGTGCCCTCCACGCTCGTTTCAACACCCGGCCCTTGCAGAACGTCGAGGTCTGACGGAAAGTCGACGTTGCGGCTAAAGGGCGAGTGGGATCCTGGATGAGGAAAGATTGATTGATTGACTAATCAACTGATATATTGGTTGACTGATTGATTGACTGACTGGTTGACTGATTGATTGACTGATTGATTGACTAATTAAATGACTGATTATTTTGTGGTTCCGGGCTCGACTATGGTCACTAGTCCCGTACGTATGGTTCATGTTTTATCACGCGTGGTGGTGGTGGTGTTTCCCCTACCGGATGGTACGATCCGGCGCCAACCTACACGTCGGCTATATTTCCCCCATCCAGATATCTCTCACTAGTGGGAAACCGCCCCAGACGATACAAATTATACACTCTCGACTGATTTTTCGATATGTGTGGTAGTGTAGTGCACGTAGATGTATGCCTGTGTAAATAAGGATGAGAATACGACACGGACGCGGAAGGAAAGATGTCGCGCTGTCCGTGGCCCGCTTCCTTAGGTACTGCTAGAATTTTTCTTCAGATAGCGTACTGACCTCAACCTAACTCTTATCCTGTTATCGAAAACCTGCTACCGACGGGACCCAAACCCTAGGTCCTTCATATCAGTGGCTCTGCAGTGACATCAGCTGATGCTCTGAGCCACCTCAAGCGGTATGAGGCAAGGCAGTGAAATTGGTGTTGCTAATTGCGTTGTGGTATGGAAAATACAACCGTGGTGCTTGGAAATAAAATGCGATATCAACAATGAAATCTTACGTCGTTGATAACTGTTGATAGAAATAGAATTTCTATTCCATTAAAATACTCTTATTGGGCATTCTTTTATTTTCTGAGTAGTACCTTACATTAAAATATAATTACCAGTCACAGTCATGCGGCATTACCTCACTCTGTGTAAAACACGCATACACACGGCCGGGCAATGCACAAAACTGATCATATTTTGAAATTATTGCGTCTACATATTACAATTAATTGTAATAACTGTGCATCAGAGTGCAACTAATGCACCTAGCTTATAAAAAAATAATTATGTGAAAATGTTTCGTTGGATTATTTCGGGCGGTAATTTCGAATCTCGGAAGGGCAAAAAAATGTAAAAAAATTCGTGATGTTGGAGGACTAAGGAATAGCTTATTAACAAAATATATCGCATACTGCAATGCACCTGCTTTATTATTGCTTCTGTCTTCTGTGGTAGATTGCATTATATCCAAACAATAAATCTATTGAATATCTATAGTGGTGAAATCAACTGTTTTAATTTCATAAAATAATAGAATTATATGAGAATTATCTAGAAACTTAGCAACAACAGTTTTCAATTTTTACGTACCGATTACGAAGTTGTGGCGCACTACATAGCGCGTGATGGGGCTGTTTCCATCGAGAGGAGGGGTCCACGCTATAGTAACACGTCTGCTCCCCTTATCCACCAATCTCACATTAGTGGGATGATCAGGTGCATCTAGAGATATCACATAGCGACTATTAACCAAACTGCTTACTTTAAAAACAGTAGATTCAAATGTAAGTGTGACACGATATAATCATGAACATAGATAATATCTTGAAATTGTATTGTCACTAATTTTTTAACAATTTTACTAAGGTAATGATAAATTTAATATTTCAATTCAAATTAATTCTTACGATAATTCCGAATGAGGTTATTCACACTATTTCACCTATGATAGTTTGACTAATGAAATGCAAGCATTCTTATCATATGAGCCTCCTGCGTTGATCTTTAAAAATAATACATTTTTGTCATCATTTTAGTCTTCCTACCTCCTAATTCCTGAACAAACGTATTCGCGTTATTCTAAGACGTTTTATTGCTATGACATCTATTTATTCAAGAGTTTACGTGTTTTCGTTCCTCACAGAACTTAAAATCATTCTATTACCGAGTCTACACGTGGATTATAAATGTATTGAAATTTACTCAATTAACTTCATTCCTGCGTATATTTTTAAACTACAACTAGCTAATCACTTCGTTTGTTAAATCTTTGTTATTACTATTCACAGTTTGCATTTTTTTTTTCAAATTTATTCCCTGCTACTAGAAGATTCGCGAATTTATTTGCAAACTCAGAACATTTGGTTGAACATTTTTGCTTAGTAAACTAAAATAAAAGTGTTCAGTTGTCGTTAATGATCGTTTGTAAAACGTTGGGCAGCAATGCAGCTGCGCAATCGCGCTGCATTCAACAGGTAGTGTTTACACCTCATAGTTCCTCGAACGCCCAGTAGATCGCAGAAATTTCACAACAGCGCGTCCAGATACTCTGCCGGAGGAACGGGCGTTTTTATGAACGTTCACATGAAGTACATAAAAGAAGGTATAAAATACGTTACCCTGTACAACGAGATGGATTTCCGTCTGATCATGACCATACTCGTTTCGGGCAAAACACGTATATATTCCACCATCATCGGAATTTACTGCGTTGATTCGAAGTTCCGATTCCAAACCATTAGCCACGTTCTTGGCACTGAAAAGAAAAGTTGCTATTTATAAGTTGAAAAACTATTTTTTAACAAAAAATAAAAACAATGCATTTGTTAAATAGGTTATATACTGAAGAAAATTCCAAGCAGAAAATTATAATTAACATAATACAGAAAAATCGATAATAACAAATCGAAAAGACTTACTTGTTTGATAAAAGTATGTTTTATACGAAGATGAGTCATGAAATAAGTTAATAACTCTTAATGGTCTAACATACCGTATTTATTATTATTGTAATTATAATAATTATTATTATTTTTAAAAATGATTTCCTAGTCTCATTAAGAGAGTATTTTTACGGAATTATTGCATACTTATACGAAAGAACAATGTTAAAAGCTACCATTACATGATCGTTTTTCATCACATTCAAAAAATGCTCGAGATTTGTACGGTCAGACCTTTGTCGACAGCGGCCACAAAAACTATAGATCAATATATTTTCTAAACGAAACTGAAATGTATACATAAAAATAAAGACTCCTTTTTCTGCGTATTTCAATTTCATCAGGTTAACCGAACCAATTTAAACGTGATAGGCTTATATTATCTAAATGTTTCGAACTGACAATTCGAAACCTTCTTTAAGAAATGAAAAATGATTGGTTATTTTCGTACCCTTGGACAATGGTTCTGTGCCGCATTATACGTAATACGGCAAGAACAAATGTGAACTTAAGTGGAACAAAAGTGAACAAAAGAGATTAAGTTTGTAGACAAAAGAATATAATCCACATTGTAAGATTAAATAGGTGCTAAGATTAAGCTGTTATTAACACCATTTTTTCATAAGAACAATACTGGGTCTCTTTGACTGCATCCTTACATGTGCCGGCCAATCGTGATTTCCCATCGTCATTAAACGTGATTTCCCAACGCATGTTCCTTGGCGAAAAGTTATCATCTTCGACCTCCCAACACGCCCTAAAATTTGACATTTATTCTGAGACACTGGATTTATTAGTAAATATAGGTTACATCCACATAATTTATTTATTTTTATAGAAAGAGACAGGATATGTTGATGCCAATGGTTGTGAAGAAAACTGCAATATTTGGGACTACTTTTTCCATTACTACAAACTACAGGCGTCTTTGTGTTGTGGGAACGGCACAATGGTGTAATAGTTTTCTGGATGAGACTTCCTACTACCTCTAATACAGTTTGCTGCGTCATGTAATTCGATAATTATTGTTGGCTAGCATGTTTCCGAATTTGGAAAAAAAATCTTGTTCGTATTCACTGGATGAACAAATTCAGTGGAAGACCTCAAGTTCAAAATTTCTATGAAGCTTTTACTTCAGTGTTCCAGTTTTCGGCAAAATTAACAAACCGCATTTCTACTTAGCAATTCAGGCACCATTCCAGGAAAGATTCCAAACCATTCAATATTAGGTTATTTCTATTTGTATTTGTTGGTGTTTCGCATAAGTTAGAGATATAATTTAACGTCGCATATATAAAGCGCTTTTAGGAGACTGTGCTCAGGAATAAAAGTAATTTTTATACGAGTATATAGACTATTTAATAAAGAATGAAAAGAAAGGCTGACAACAGGACATCGTAACTGCGGAAACAAGGTGGGTTTTCGTTGACAATTTTTAATAACAATTATAAATTACTCTGGGGTCATCCTTCTGTAGTGACAATGGAGTATTTGTGGGCAAATTTGTACATTGGGCTGTCTATGACGTTTGTATCAGTCTGAGAAGAACAGTGACAGCATGTTAAGAACGATAGAGGATAGCCCCACGACAGACCACTTCCTTCTCTGATTCCTTCTCTGATTCTTCACTACATTTTCTGATAGGATTTGCAGCTGACAATATTTTTTTAAACGTGTCCAAACTACTTATTACAATGCTTTTCTAGTGCTTAGACTTAGTTGAAAATTCTGCGGAGGAAGAGAAAGTAAATGAGAAACAACTGTACTCACCTCGTGCGTCCTTGTAACTCCAAGAAACTGCCTTCTTTCCTCCACACAAAAGTTATGGGTACGTCTCCAACTGCATGACAACTTAATATCGCGGTAGTACCCCGTCGCACCATTTCCTTCCTTGATCTCATTTTGAACTGAACTGGCGCTAAATTATTTCAATGTCAGGTACACAGAGAATAAGAAACAACAAATATGGTTAGTTGTCACCGATCAGATGGCGTACTACGAAGAATAGAGGGCAAACATCTGAATTGCACCCTTACCATTAACAGTTAAATATAAGACTGCGCTGAGCCCAACACCAATACCGTTCGTAGCCTCACAAATATATCGACCTTCGTCATCCTTGGTAACGTTCTTCAGAAATAATGTTCCGTTCGGGAGAAGAAGGGCCCCTGCCCTGACGTTAATGACTTCTACTTCTTTTGGTCGCTCTCCAGCACGACCTACAATAGCGCGTTGCGAGGCATTCTTAAGAGTCACAAAGAATATTTGCATGCACTTGACAATTCTGAACTTTATGAGAAAGGAGTGAAAACTGCATTCTCAGATTTTCGTGACTATCTCTCGACCAAGATGAATATGTTCCAGAACTCGAAGCAAGGATTAGTTTACCTCCACTCCCCTCCACTTTATTCACCCCATTAATTCATCCATCCCAATCCATACTTTACAATAATTCCGTTTATTTAATTAAATAAAAACTGTAAAACGGTTCTGGAGTATACAACTATTTGATGTACATAAGGGGATATCTAAATAATTATACGTTTTCCCACTGAAATGCATATCAATAGTTTCAATGCTTTGTGGGGGCGAGCTGCGTCGTTTTGAAGATAGTAGAAAGTATTCGACCGTTTCGTGCGGTGGATATGGTGGAGTGTGCCTAGTACTCGGTCACGTAAAAAACAATTTACTACAGCATTAGGCGGTGAATCATGTCATTGTAAATCAGGAACATTCTTTCATCTAGTTGATGTGAAGACGGTGATGATTATGTTTTTTTCTGAAGTGACTCACCCAGTATTCAACTTTCATTACTGAGGAAGAGGAAGGAAAGATCGCGATCATCGTCGAAACTCCGGAAAATTACGGATTAGTGCAGCCGGCCGCCAGAAGTCTCCTCCAGACAGAGGCAGATGTCGACCTAGCTATCTAGCTAGTGTCAAAAATCCTGGAACTGTCGGGACTCGGACCCTAGAACCTTCCGACCAGAGGCACTTCAGTGGCACAAATTAATGCTCTGAGCTTCCTAGGCCGGTTTTCATCTCGAATTTTCCAACCAATACCGAAAAATATGTTACGATCCTCCCTGTGATAAAATTAGCGTCCCCCATTTGTGCGGTTCAAGCTGGGCTCGAACATTAACTTCTTGGTCGAGACACATTTCTAGTAAGACATTAATGCTGAACTCTACAACGCACAGCGTCGTAGAAATGAAAGTACTGGCTTTGAAATTCTGAACCAAATGTGTATAATTATTAATACTATAGGATATTTATAAATAACAATTAGAAATTATATTTTTGTTTGGTTTCTTTGACAATAAAAACCAAGTACGTGAACAATATGACACTTCTTTACTACAAAAGAGAACGCTGGGTACCTCAAATGTGTTGTTGATGAAAGAAGTTACTATACCTAGTACTGTATTTACAGCGTAGATTAAATGCGAGTGTTAAGCTCGAGAGAAACCTTCACATAAGCAGGTAGGGACAAATTATTCTGCGCACGTATTTTACATACAAATGTATATAAAATATTTATTTACTTATTAATCTCCGGTCTTTTACCCCATGTGTCTGTTTAGAAACGATTTCTCATTTTTCAAAAATTAGCAAATTCATTATCACCATTATTATTTTTTGTGATTTTGTGAATTATCGCTTTTATTGTGGCTCGAAATGTAGAAACTAGCCCTTTGACATTTGAGATTCCCTTCAGAAAAAGATCACTTGTCAGTATTATCAGCTCCGCAATATAAGAATTGAGCTATTGTTAACTTATTGTACATATGGATTCACAACATTGCATTGTGCACCAAGAAAACCAATAGTCCAGCCAACCGCATGAAGTGCACAAGTGCAATAGATATTGAAGTGACACGTAGTTGTAAATATAATATAGTTCCGAAAATTACGTAATGAAAGTACTGAATGTAGAATTGAAAACCAGTGAGAGTGACAATAAAAGTGTCAGTGATAAAATAGCAGTGCGCTATGGCAGAGAGAACCAAAAACACAATATGGAATAATAACTATTTACATTTTAACATAATTGCCTGATCGTTAATTGCATAATTGATTGTTAGATATGACATAAAATCGTTGTCAAGATTTCTTAGATTAAAACAATTCTAATTCTCGACATGTTATGTAAGATATGGACGTGTGAAGCATGGGAATCGTTTTCCGTCATTTTAGTATATTATTTACACTTTTACGACACTCCATCTGATTTTGTTTATTCTATTAAGTTAAATTGTCGTCTGAGGAAATTACTTTCTTAAAGAACCCATGCGTTTTTGTATTACAATTAACTTACTCGGAGGAATTCGTTTCCAAACAATCGTTGGTGGAGGAAATCCCTCGGCTTTGCAGTGTAATAATGCTTGGCCTCCAATTTTAGCATATCCACTGCGTGGTTCCACAATCCATGAGGGTGGCACTAACAAACGAAAAGAAACATGCATTGCTGCACAAATGGCACACGAGATATTTGCATAAAATGCAAATATTGGTAATGCCGTTAAACCATGAATATTTTTGTAATTCCTTTCACCAGAAGTGTCAACCAATAGTATATTTACTGTCAAAATGTCGCAATGAAACAAAGAACAAACTTTGAATGCAAATTTTAAATTAGAGCGCGATTTATTTTTAAATGTAATAAATAAACAAGGTATGCTATCTTCTATAAATTTTGCATATACATCTCATGAAATCTCAAAAATTTCTATGGAAATAAATAATTTCTTTTGCTATAGAAAATAATGTAACACAGGCGAACTCAAAAATTAGTCATCGAGAAATATTTGAATGAAAAATAACTTTTAGATCCGGCCTCACAAAGCTATAGAATACTTATAATTCGAAAAACACAGAAAGTAAAGGAAACAAAGATATCTACCGAGAATCTTTCTATAAAGTACAAATTTGCAAGAGGTATGAAAGGTCAAACTACCGAGACGCAACGTATGTTTAGACGGACACACTCCAAGACCCTGGGAAGGTACAATATGAAATTCACACAAAAGCAATTGAAAATAGAGCGTATGAAACATGAGAAAAACATGCCACTTTCCCTCAGACAACCAAGAGCACGGCCCAAATCCAACTACTTTCGGAATGCTGAATGACTCAGTTGAAAAAAAAAAATACACAGAAGGATGTAGGCGTGAAAAGGAATGTTTGGCGTGACCATCGGCATATAAGCGCAACGTGAAAATTCAGCACCAGAAGTAATGCTCCGAAGCTTCCGGACAAATGTATTCCAATTCGTTTTCAGGCAAATGATAAGATCGTTCTTATACAATCGATTTATTATGATCAAATTGAATTAATTTTAATCCACTTGCGTACACCCTATTTATATGGGTTCTGCAAATTTGGCCTGCAGGAAAATAAGGAAATAGTTTAGATTGTTATTCCTTCAATCAACACAGTATTTTTATCAGAATTCCCATAAAAATAATGTGTAACGTTATTCCCATGTTAGTTTAAAATTCATAATCAAATGAATTGCAAACTCTATGATAATTTTAAATATTATAACATTTTATTCGAAATGAATTATATGAAATCCTTTTCCTAAAAAAACTTTTGCAGCCCGTTTATACTTCAGAATATAATGTGTATGAACGTATGATGAATCTTTATTTCCTGTCTGTGTCCGGTAGTTTCAGCACATTGTGCATAAATTTCCCCTTTAATGCAAAATGAGATGATGTCATACTCTATAGCAAGCACGAAAATCATTGAAGAGAGAAGTGATTCGCTCAGAAAGCAAACTTCGTTAGCGATATTTGAAAACAATTACTTACTGTAGTGATTATAGTTTTAAAAAATTAGGAACAATTGAGAATTGCACTGCATTACTGTTGACGAATCCCGTCATTGAACAATTGTGAAAATCTTATTTCATTTTTTGTTTGATTTTCAAATACTTTACAAAACAATGTTTATTTTCAAATGAATAACGTATCAAGGTTGAACTAAGTTATATTGCAATAAAATGCATGAAAAATGCACGTTCGAAACGCACATTCAAAAACATGTAACTGATATTTTGTCACAACTACTTCCTTAAGGACATATCTTCAAAACATACAGTATAACCTTTTAAAAACTCATACGTTTCAACGTGAATGTGAATATCACGACGAAAATTAAATATGCGTCCCAGCAACATAGTTAGAAATGAACATAGACAAAAACCAAAATGTGAAATGTCTCATTTTAAGAATTACTGTATCGGGATTGTGTATAACACAAACTAATTTACTTTCTTGCGAACACTCCTTCTCTGTTGCTCGAATAGTATAAATCAGTGAATTATTTCAGTATCAAACGCATGAGAGTGCAAGTAAAATTCTAATACGAAAATTAGATGTGCAAAAGATGTATTGTAATATTTCTGGCCTCCCACATGAGGTTGTCGTTGTTATGCAAAAAACAGTCATAAGCTGTAAAGTAAATCAGATATAACCAATAATAACTTCATTTTTACACAAACACGTACGTCACTATATCCAAAAGCAAATTATCGAAAAAGAAATAAGATGAAGGAAAGACACATGCCAATAAGCATGAAATTACCTGCATGACTTGAAGAAGTAGTAGTCTATTAGTCAACCGCAAGTCATCCAACGCGGTGATAGTCAAGATACGCAGAATAACTACATTCCTGTACTGCGGAAGCAACACAAGGTGATGAAAAGCATGCACGTATGATGAGGGTGAGCAGGATGACGTGACAAAAGGGCTTTCATTTGAATGGCATCTTCATCACTATGTTGAATCACTCTTTGCTTCACAGCCTTTTTTTGGATTCCCTCCCCCCCAACACATTGGAAGCTTTAGAATCTCATATTTTTTCATCATATTTTTTTTGTGGTGCTACAAATTTAGCTAGTGCGTTCATTGCACTGAAAACCGCATAATAGTACGTGTAAATTATAAACAGCACTGCAGCAAACGAGTGTGACATGCCTCGTCCCAGTCGCATTATACAAATAGCGTGAAGTGCCATCTGCTAGGTGTGAGAGAGGTATTACGGAGGTAGTTACCCGTGACCAGCAGCAGCGCCGTGTAGGTGGTCGTCCTCGCCTTGTTCGTCGCCGAACAGGTGTAGTTCCCGCTATGCCTAGAGCTAACGCTACGAATCGCCAGGACACTGGAGTACTCTCCAGCGCCTTGGACGGTGAGGTCAGGGTCATCATGCAGGCTCGGGGTGGGCGGGATGGGGCGGGCGTCCTTGAACCACTGAATGGTGAGCGGCGGGTCGCCGCGCTTCACGCTGCACGTCACCAACACGCGCTCACCCGACGAAAGCTCACCGAATGCGAAGGGAGTAATGGCAGGAGGCACTGAAACACAACCCCGCCCGAAACTCAAGCCAACACAAGTACTACAAATGTTACTCCGAGGGGACGGCGGTGTATGGCGATCGCATCTGTCGGACAGAATGAAGGAAGGACGAGAAGCGAAAGAACATATACGGTAAATATTGCCTTTTCAATATTCCAACACGAACTGATTTCGTACTTGTAAGATGTAATAAAGCAATATTCGAGGTTAAATGTTATGTGAAATATCGGATTTCGCTGCCGCGCCTAAAAATAAAATTTACATTATTAGTCTTCATTGTTAAGCTCCAGGAAATGGAGATATTTGACGATTTTGTACAAACATTTATAAGTTTTTAAAATTTATTTTAAATCTTCTACTTAGTAATAATCTAACAAAGAATTAAAAAGGAAGTGACAAAAAGAAAACGTAAAGAGCAACCTTTTATATAAGATTCATCCGGCATTAAACTGTGAATACTACTCTTCCAATGCAAATATTGGAAGAGTAACATTTTCGAAACATTATTTTAACTTGTGTACTTTGTGCCAGGGACGTACTTGACATTTTTGCAAAATCGTGTTTTTAATTCAGAAATTGTGTTAATGTAGAGGAACCATGCAAGGAGGCGTTCTCAGAGACATGTTGAAGTTTACAAAATGGCGAGCAGAACCATCCGCTTTCTACTGTGTGGAGAAGCAGTCATTGTTTGCCTGGGAATCTCAATATGGATTTTCAATATACTGGGGACTTAGCAAACATTGTTTAGGGGAATGACTACTAAATAAAACATTAACGATATTTCTTTTTGAAACGAAAAGTGATACGATGATGGAATTGGATGTCAAACCATCTTGCATCCATCATGCCAAGAAAAAACATTGGTAGTTACGATTTGCATCAAGGCCATCTTCAAATGATGATAACCGCTAGGTCACACAAATAAAAAGACGTCTATAAAAATAATTTCACCTATCATTTCACGTTTTGTTAATACTCCTAGAAAGAAATGTGTTGTGATCTTAAGGAAGACAATCAAAATATAGTAATGAAGTTTCATAAATATATTATTTTCTATAATTTTATATAATTTTCATCATTAGTTAAAATTGAATCGTTTGATAGTACCTAATAGTGCTTGCCAATTAGTGCCATTCTGTACTTTATTAATTGTGTATCATTTCAATTACGTTACCAGAGTATTCATAAGGTTTTGTGTATTTTTAATATCTACTTCCATTAATTTTATTCTAATGGCAATAATTATGTATGTGTTATTAATGTGTGATTGAAGTAACTTTTTTTTATTTTCGTAGATTTGGATTAAGACAAAACACTTCCCTTGCCCAATGTGGACGCGCCAAAAAACATTAGCTTTTTACAAAACGAGCACCTAAATGTAAAAACTATAATATTCAGGTTTTGGGTACAAATTAGCACGTAACTCCACCGTATGTTCTTTCCCTCCTGCGCCGCCGCCTTCCCTCGTCTGCCGGGCCAGCGTGCAGCCGGCGACCACAGACCGACGGCCATACCACGAGCGCGCCTGCCCTGGAGGCCCGAGGGGCTACGGCCGATGGGCATACCGTTCACGGAGAGCAAGGCCGACTCGGCGGTCTGCGCGGCGCCGTTGCGTGCAACGCACGTGTAGTTGCCGCCGTGGTGCCGGGACAGGGCCCCGATGCTCAACACGCTCGTGAACTCGTCCAGCGTGCGCACCATCACGCCCCGCTCGCCGTCCACGGGGCTCAACTGGCGGCCGTCCTTGAGCCAGTGCACCCGCAGCGGCGGGTCCCCCTTGCTCACCACGCACTGTGCCCCCACGCGCTCACCCAGGTGCAGGTCGGAACGGAAGCTGAAAGGGGTTATCTTAGGGGGGACTGAAAAAGAACACACTTATGTAACTAGGTGAGATCCATCAGACGCTGGGTTGCGGCGATCAGCGCTCTGTGAGGGACTTATGCTTCAGGTGGAGGATCTGGCGTCAAATGCAGCTGTTTTCGAAGACAAACCGCAATTACTTTTATAGGTGTTTACAATACGGTGACTCAAAAAAGACGGCTAGTGTAATGCAGACGGGCGCGATGCAGCAGACTCAGCGGAATCTGGTGAAGCGAGACTATATATTTCAGACTAACAGTAATTGCGTGAAAGGCAATTGCACATTAAAAATATATTTGTCCACAAATATCGGTTTGAAAAGGGTGATCTGGGCTGTCCGGGTGACGCCGCGTCGAAGGCTGAGTTGCCGACGTTTCGACCATCCTGTCGTGGTCTTCCTCAGGGCTGGTATGCGCCGTGATGGTCAGCGCTCGTGTTTATATTCAAGTCTAGGCCGTGTGCTATTGGCTGAAGCAGTTCGTGTTCACAGAACCGGACCGCTTCATGCCGTCCGACCCCAGGCCGCGCCATGCGGGCCAATCGCGGACCGGCTCGCGCCGTCCGATCCCGGGCCACTCCGACCCGCCTGACGGACCTTTCCGCGCCGTCCGATCACGCGCCACGCCGTCCTATCACGCGCCACCCGATTTGACCCCCCCGCGCTGCTAACTGGCGGCCTCCGATTGGCCGCTGCTTCAGCCAATAGCACACGGCCTAGACTTGAATATAAACACGAGCGCTGACCATCACGGCGCATACCAGCCCTGAGGAAGACCACGACAGGATGGTCGAAACGTCGGCAACTCAGCCTTCGACGCGGCGTCACCCGGACAGCCCAGATCACACACATGACTCTGGTCGCGGAAGCCTACGACTTCATCGGTTTGAAAAGTTTAAAATTAGGTTATATTTAAGTTTTACAATGTTACGTGTAACGTTTTGTAATTATTTGCGTTTGTTTTTAAAAATTAAACAATTGCCTACTGTAATGTTCGAAAAAACACTATCACTTTTTATGTACTTGGTAGCTAAGATTGTGTTGCAAAGTTGACCCTTAAATTTATAACTTGAATTACCCGTGGATGCTCAGTTGTTTGAGGTAATGTCTTCAGTACGTCATTGTGTTATATTCGTTTATTATTGCTAGGTGCTATGCGGTTCTATTGCATTGATAGCAACATGCTGAGATAACATCAGTTCGTAAATTTCATTGTTTAAGCATGTTCTACTGAAAATATTACTTTTATTCTTAAAACATTAAGTGTTAAAGTTAATATATCTCTTTATATTTGTTCTAATGACATCAGTACATGACGCTTCTCGTTAAGAGCTAATTTTCAACTTTTATTTCATATGGTTGCTTAATTTGTCATCTTATATTATGAACTATTTCTAGATACAACGATATTGCCATGAAATATTTATTCAAAAAAATGCACCTGATAATTTCTCTGTTAAATGAATCAGCCTCATTATTTTTACACAAATCAAGTTAAAGACATTTTTGTCTTAACAAGACAAACAAATTGAAATTAAACAAAAACATTGTTTATAACGTCATAGTCTTTCTATGAACATACCATATCTCTTTTACAGAAACACAACAACAGAAGAAATAATTAGTAGATATGGTGTCCAAAATATAATTCCCTCCCAACACAACTCAGAATAGCACACATTCAAATTTGTAACGAATATAACTGATTTAAATGTGTTTACAATACAAAAGATATTTCCACATAAACCCAAAGCATAATCTATTATTTCTTTTGGTTTTAAGAAACTACAAATTCAATCTGAATTATTAATATCACGTCCCATCTTTTTAAGTAATGCAAGAAGTTCACGAGTAACCAAAACTGCATATTTCTCGTGGTATACACGCTCGTTAAGAATATTATATTTGACATTCTGTAACATAATTTAGAATAACTAACATAATTCCACTACAAGTTTCCAAAAGCTTAACCTGGAAGAACGTCAGAACACATTGGATGTCATGGAGACAGAAATTCCCTATGGAAGAGTCTAATCCATACCAGTTAGCTGGCAATTTGCTCCTTTGAAACAATTGAATTTCTACTTCGGAGTCTCATTCTCGGTAACTCGTCGTGGTCGCCCAGTTCTGGTAACGCGCAACACAACAAATGCCGAACGCACGCACGCACGCACGCACGCACGCACGCACGCACACACACACACACACACACACACACACACACACACATACGGCAGCGATGAAATTCTAGCGCTGAAATGCAATTACTGATAACTCGAAACCCTTCAATTGGAATGTCCACTCAGTGTTTCGTGTAGCTAACTCCACGAGTCAATTCAAGTAATTAGCACCGTCTCGCCCATGCAACGCGATAAAAAAAAGAACACCACAGGGCATTGGTGAAGCTGTTACTGTAATTTGTTTAATTTATGGCAGCGATTCTCGTGTAATGTGGAAGCACAATTTGATTGTTCGTTGTGGTGACTATAAGAGAAAAGTACTAATCGGAGGATGTGTTTTGAACAAAAAAGTAATTCTTTGACAGACGAGAAAAATACGTCCGTCCGCTTTTAAAAAGCTCTTTCTCAAGTTACATAAATATGTTAAAACTGGGTGTAATGTATCATGCACTAAAAAGATTTTAAATGAATAAATTAATTTGAAAGTCCAGATCAATGGTTGTAGTAATCTAATACGATATAAGGTGTTCAGTGTTTCCAAAATTGTTTCTGTACTGAAATATTTGTAAAAGGAAAACGCTTGTAATTGTCAAGGAATCTTCATAATTATTATTGTGAGTACAGACAAACGAGAGAAATAGAATATTTGAGTATGGAGATTGCAGTGCTACCTGAAATACAAAAAGATATTCGACATAAATTCTATAGATGTGGTTTTAGAATTATATTCATTACCTGCCATTCGTCTGGGAGGTCATGCAAAAATACTTCCGGACAAGGGGTGCATAATACCAGGACAAATATCTCAGAATTCACATGAAAATAATATCAGCGGGATATACAGCAAGATCGTAGATTTTTTATTCAAAAGATCTATTAATTCTGTGCATTAAACAAAAACCGTGTTTTTGTTAGCTACACTCTGAACATTTTGGAATTCCATCGAATTCGAATTTGGAACAACTCTGATTTTGGAATTCCATCGAATTTATTTAGAAACGTCCGAAAAAAAAATCATCGACTAAGATTTGACAAATCTTTGTTCTTTAGTGAGTTCCAACTCAACCGTTTCTTTCCCTCATTTTTTTAATAACCTATAAAGAAAAATGACAACTTAAAAACTTTCCATGCATTTGTTACTTTTATTTAGTAAAACATAACTATTAAAATAATTTCTCACATAGTTCGTCATGACGTTCGTTAACATTGTTATGACGATGACATTCACGTATAATGATGTAACATGAATATCAACTCAGGCTACAATACGCACTAATTATATGATTCACTATCGACTCATGTCTCTTCGTGAATATAGTATTACCAATTTTCTTATGAAAAAATATGCTAAAGAAACTTACCCGTGACGGTGACGTGTGCAACATCACTCGCCCGATCTCCTTGCTTGTTGGAGGCTGTACAGCGGTACAGGCCGTCATCTTCTCCAGACTGCACCTTCTCAATCATGAGGGTTCCATTTGGGAACGTCAGTTGTCGCGTGATGTATGGAAGAACTCTGTCTCCATCATCACTAACTACAAACAAGATCCCGTCGTGCCACCTCTTTCACTTTCATTAAATTAATTTACTCTTTAATTACATTGACATGCTTGTTGCATGGTTGAACATGTTTGAAGTGAAACATCTTATTTTTGCGGGTGACAAAATATTGGGTCAAATATCTCGAATAATTGCTGTCCAGAGTATTTTTTGAACAATGGAAGTTTTTGAAAGAAGATAATTATAATGATTTGTGAAGATCAAAATTGACAATATAAAATTGTTCAAAAGTATCTCTCTCGGATCAGTGTAATATTAATTCCAAAATGCATTTTAATAACTTAGCAGTCTCATCCCTGATCTTGTGGAAATTAATATTAAAAATGAATATACTCGTACAGCTGAGCCGGTAGCCGAACTTATTAACCAAGTCCGTGAAGTCACGGAAGGTAAGCAGCTCGTTACACCGGGTCCCTGTATGGGTGAACGTCTGGGAACAACCGATACAAACGGCGTTGAGACCCAGAACGATAGGGGTAAAAGGTAATCCCTTGCGACTTGATTTAAAGTATGAATTCAAGGAGAATTACACCACGTTCAACGCAAAAACGTCGTGGAACGTTGTCATGTAAGTAAAGGATTTTGTTTTGTTTTGTGCTTATTAAACCTTATACTGTAACAGAAACTGCTCAATCAATTATCTTGAATCGTTTACATTATTTTGTAACATAATCTTCTTTAGACGTCCTAAAATTTGCTTATGCATAGAAATATTACTGGTTTCGACGAGCAGAAATGACGACCAAGATATTTCACTTCAATCGTTTAAGTACAAGCGACTGGTTTAGCAGTGTGCAAATAATAAACATACCTCGAAACCATTCAATACCGTCAATAGGATATCCAGCAGCTGGACAAGTAATCGACAACGTTTCACCGGCAATTGCTGATACATCTCCCATTGGACGAACACGTGGTAAACCTTTATCAAACGAAAAGTTTAATTATTATGGAGTTCATTCTGATAAATTTCATGAATGTAAATGTAATATAAGCGTTAAATTTGAAGTGTCTTGCAAGCCATAACAATGTGAATACTGGAAACAAAATATTATAAAGAGGCCATGCAACATGCTTTCATTTAATATATAACGAATATTACGTATTACGTGCAGTTCACCTGGAAACGGATAACTTAAAAACAAACGTAACTGAGACGGGGACACTTTTATTGGTAAATTTTAAATTGTCGTTGCTGGTTGAACGACATTCTAACATCTGCATTACTTCACATTACGAATGTATGAAGACGGATTAGCGTATACCGACTCTACAATTTGCAGCCCTCTGAAATACAGGATTGAGCTAAACAGGAAGGTGACAAAACTATTTCAATACCTATTTAATCACATTTTTCAATAGTATCAAAAAAGGTTTTGATTAAAAAAATCATGTGAACGCGGTGTTGGAAATAACTCTCAATGACATGAACCTCATCTGCTGGAGGACTATTAGTTAATTATTGCTTGAAATACGTAGAAATATTATTTTGGAAATAACCATTCATTCTTTAGGACATCTCACTTTGTGAGTAAAATGCAAATTTACACTTTACAATGGGTCAAGAAAATGATAACTATTTTACGTGACTCATAAATTTCTTCTTCGTAGAATAAATGTGTAGAGAATCACGGCACTTTAATTTCGCCTTTTCTCAAGATTAATTCGTCGTATATATAAAGAACGTTTCACAAAAATTAAACTTTAATACCATCACAAATAAAATGAAATATTAAAAAGTAATGAAATTCTAATGAATTCTCAGACAATACAGACAAGTTTATCACGTACCCTAGTTACAAAATGTTCACGATTGCAAACTCAAGGGGTGAGAGTCATTAGGAGAATCTTAAGGACATAAATATATGGAGGTGAAACTATTTATGAAGCGTGAAAGATGCCCATTGCTCAAAATAAAATCTAGGTAAGCCTTGGCATTTGCTACGAATGGTTCTTCATTCAATTTACGTACCATACACGTTCAATTCTGCGCTGTGTGACATTTCTCCAGCACGGTTGACAGCGGTACACTGATAAGTGCCACCATCCTCTACGCGAACATTTGTTATGTTCACGTGGCTAACCACATCTCCATTTGTTGGCACATACTGCCCAATTACAAATCTACAAGAAACATGCAATATTGTGTACTCCTTACTCTGGATGTACACTGAAAATTTATCACATAATGTGTTTAAGAGAAATATATGAATTTATGAAAATTGAATATCAGAACTACTTGCATCTGAAACTCAAATTAACGAACCGACGTTAAAATTGATGGCTATGTGCGCAGTATTGCCGAGAGCTAGAGTAATACGAGTTGAATACTTGTGAAGATATGTAACCCGTTATGAAGTCGTTACATGATACATACTACATTTTTTCTAATATTAAAAGGTAAAAGTCTAAATAAAATTTACTAACCTGTCATTTTGGGGCAATTTAAATCCATCGAGGTTCCACTTAATTTGTGGGGTTGGATTACCAGACGCAACACATTTGAGAGAGACAGACGGTCCAGGCTGTATTGTTTGTCTTATGAAAGAATATATTAAAGTTGGGGGAGTATCTGAAAAAATGAAATTTCAGCTATAAAAATTGATACGTAAGGAAGACTGAGGCTGGTTATCACTTGAATTCTTATATTGGCCACGTAGCTTCCTTAAACCCTAGCTTTGGATGACGTGTTTTTCACGGTCGGAGGAACTTCCCATAAACGCCTCAGTACAATCAAGTACGATCAGTGCAACGATGGTGGAATTGTGATCTCAAATTATTTTAAAGGTTGGAAAGGAATATTTTCGTGGTTAATTGATTTTTTCTGATATATTGGGAAAGAAATTCTTTGTTTCCCAACCACTTTTTCAACCAATCTCTCCTTCAATTTATTATGCTTTTATTTATGTAGTCAAAGAACAGCAAAACTATTTGTGTCGTAAGGAGGTGAAGGATTTATTTTCTCATTATTTCTTATTTTCAAATTGATTTTTCTTAATATTGGAGTATTCATTTTTTAAAGTTTTGTGTTTCCTTGTAAATCCGCTTTCTTTAATTGCCTCACTGGATTTCAGGTGCTAATACTTTTACTTGAAGTAATTAAGTCAAAGAGAACTAAACTTACACTTTTTATGATATTATAAATCTTACACGCGATTCTGTGATGAGCCTTTATTAAAATGAATGTATTCTAAATCTTATCGTAAAATATTTCGACACCGTACGGTCAGAACTCTCGAAACTTTCACATTAAGGAACGGAAATATGTTGTCTCAGCCTTAGAAACCCTTTCTGAAGGAACTTCAAGAAAAAAATATTTTAGCAATTATAACGGTATATAAACGGGACACTCAAACCAACCGGACGACACAGTACCAGCCGAACCGCTGCAATATCGGTATCTTAGAAGCCATGAGCTTGTCAGGGAACAACTTTTCGGCCAGAAAAGTAGAGGCAGTGGTAAGAAGTTGACGCCATCAGTGATGCATCAGTGTCTCAGTGTCTCTCGACGGGTGCGGACGTGTTTTCCGGGAGCTCTTCAAAAGTGAAAGGCATGGGGTGCAGCGTAGCGGTCTACCGTGCGCGCGTTGGTACCTACGCGGCGCGCTTGCCACGTGTTCGTGTTGGCTTGAAGCCGGGCCAGGGGAATTACGGCGGTATTCAGGTGATGCTCCTGTGTGCTAGCTTTATTGCATCATTATTGATTATTGGCTGATTAGAAATGAATCCCGGACCTGGAATGGAGGCAGCGAATGTTGAATGCAGCAAATGCAATCGAAACGACAGACGAATCCGCAAGCTAGACGGAGAACTTTTGGAACTGCAGAAGTTAGTGGAGATTTTTTCAAAAAAACGAGCAATTGGAGAAAGGTGCTATAAGTGTTGAAGTGTCACCGAAGCCAGTTGAGGTAACAACTGAGAAGAAGTGTTTGAGCGGCAACGTAGAAATCGGAGCACTTATCGGAACAGGAAACGAAGAATCGGGCAAGATAGTGAGCGAGGAAGTGAGGGAGGCAACTGATGGGGCAGATAGAGTTGCAGCTGATTCCGTACTTGTTGTTGGTGATTCCATTGTACGACACGTGAGGAAGGTTCACAAAATGAAAATGAAGTGTTTCCCGGGTATTTAGGTAGATCAATTACGAAAATGTATCGAAAGAAACGTTCTGGGTACAGCCGAAACTGTTGTTCTTCAGGTAGGAACAAGCAACTAAAAGGAAATAGGAAGAACATTATGCGCGATGTGTATGAACTTGTCGCTGCGGTGCAAAAGAAGTTTCCCGCAGCCAAAATTGTGCTAAGTGGTGTATTGAGACGAAAAGACATCTTCTGGCGTCACATTGCAGAAATTAATAGTATCTGTGAGTGTGTGGCGGAACGAAGCTTTTGGTCGCCACAGCGATTTTGGCAGGGACGGGCTGCATCTAAATCGGAAGGCTGCTCTCTAGAGTCTGCGGGGCCAAAACCCAATTGCACGGTTGAGGTTTCTCAGCGGTGGTCGCAGCAGCGACAGTAAATTGTGGGTGGGGTGGAGCAACTGAGACAGTAGTGAGGGAGGACCGACATGAAGAGATAAGGACAACTGCAAAAGGAAACGACGAGGAGTATTCGTCAACTCCAGAATCCAGCGTTGGAGCAGAGGCTGCAGTAACGGGCGTGAACGAGTCTGCTGCGCAGGTCTTCAGCGAAACAGAGACGGTGGTAACGGCGAGAACGACTCGGCAGCGCGGGATGAAGACGACGTTGAGAATACTGCTGAGCACGAGGACGACAGCGAGGCAGCGAGTACGGCACGTGAACACCACGTCGGTGCGATGCTTACGGAATAGGAAGACAGCAATGGAGTAGAGCAACTACACAGCGGCGGCGGCTCAGCGGTGACGGCGGCGGAGATGACGACGGCGGTGGCGACGGCGGCGGAGACGACGTCGACGGACGCGCCTTCTCGAGAATACATTCAGGAGAGGAAAGGGTTTTTAAGGTTGTTGCAGGTAAACGGTCGGAGCATAATCAATCAAGAAATAGAGTTTCGGAATCTAGTTGATGCCTGTGATCCCGACATAGTGATATTGACTGAGTCATGGTTAACTGAGGAAATCGGGTCCTCTGAATTTTTTCATTCTCATTACAAGATCTTTAGGAGGGATAGAAATTGTAGAGGGGGCGGAGATTTTTTGCGTCAAAGCAGGCATTTATATTAGAAATACCATATTAAAAATCATTGGATGCTATAGGCCTCAGAGTGACGGTTTCGACATTTTAGATGACATCATTTAGAAAACAGGAAACGAGAATGGCCATCCCATTGTTATTGGATGTGACTTAAGTATTCCTAGCGCAAATTGGGAGGGAACCGCGAGGGGAAAGTCCAAACACTTGTGAACAGTCTAGTTTGGGGCAGGGAATTAACTGAAGTAGTTCGGAGCGGAACGCGACAGGATGCGATTTTGGATGTCTTTTTAATTAGCCCGAAAGGATGAAATGGTTACTCATTCTTCAAGACGCAGCCGAAGACAATGCCATTGTTAAAGCACGCCGCCGAGTGGAGCGTCAAGGACTTGAAAGTTGCTCATGCGCTGTTCAAGGACGCTGTTCAAGGTTTGCACCGTGCAAGGACGGTCAGGCGACTTTCGCACATGACTCATCCAGTTGTGCGAAAAGAGGCATCTCACCGCAATATTGTGTTGCGATCAGGTATCGAATCATTTCGAGGAATATTGAAGTGTGCATGGAGAAGCTGTTGAACTGTCATCACAGAGTCGTTTTTTGAAGAATTGTTCAATAGCGAGAAATCAGTGATTGACGGTCCACTGCGCCATTGCTACTCAAACGACGCTCCAACCTACAAAATAACTAAGCCACCCACCCCGCCATTATACTCCCACCACTGATACTGTTCAAATCTTATCCATGCTTTCTTTTTGCGCTACCTCGTATTAAAAATTTTAAATCACAATTAGTAAGTATAATAAATTTTTGTTTAATTTTTTGAAGATACTTCTTCCACTCTAATCCTTTCCACTTAGCTCCTTCAACGTGGAGCATAGTGACGTCACATCTGGTGACAGCCCTTTGCGCCAGATTTATTTCTCGGTGAAACGAACCTTACGCCTACATCGTCTTACAATCACTCTCGTATGCTTTTACTCCTGAGTGGCCATTTAAAAAAAAATTTTTCTTGTAGTTTGATTCTTCGAGATTTTGATTCCTTTTGCACCTTCATTTTTTCTCAAATAATATTTTTTTACAAATTCTGCACGCTAGTATTTTCATAATTCTCCAAAAATTAACTTCAAATTTGTTTTCAGTTACACCCTCTTACAGAGGCATCAGCAGAAACGATCGAACTTGCTCGAACTTATTACTGCCCTTCATTCGATATATTAGCGAACATGAATTCGTATCTGTGTATAATTTTCTGCTCGGGAAACAGTCATGCTTCATGTTACGGATCATTGACGTGATCTCCTTGAAGGAGGATGAAATTAGCATCAGGTTCCTTATGTATATCTACAATAAGGGAAATCGCCCAAATGTGTAAATGAGTGATCCAGGAGCGATACACGTAGTACTTCATGATCAATTCAAGTAAAGGATTTCATTGTTAGTTTAGACACCTAAAACAAATTTTGAAAAGATGTTCCTCACGTTCATTCCATCTTCAGTTCTCCTTCCCTTTGACATTACTATCAAGTTCTGAGGACATAAGTTAATTTAGTTATGGTAGACGAAGTTACTTTTTGTTGACAAGCTCGCAACACCAAGAACCAGAGAAACTTTTACCTCCACACCTTACACAACACCCCTCCCGTCAACATTCCTCTCTCCTCCCCAGCCCCCCTTAATTATCCCCTCCTTCGACGACTAAAGAATTTATTATACTTACATACAAAAATTCACTGGAGCGGATCAGCACATTGACGAATGTGTTAATAGAGTTAACGTTATATCAGATATTGCCACATGGGAAGATCCCAATCGGTTGGTATTTGCCCGTGCTTTTATCGAGGGAACTGCGACACGTTTAGTATCATTAGCCCCAGATTTTGCACAAAGACATGGCCTGCTTTCCAAATTACTCTTTGACAACCCTACTCACCCCAGACTGACTTTTCTAACGCCATTCAATGATATACAAACTGCACTACTTCACCATTAATGAGGAACTACTAATTAAGCAATTTATTTCGGAATCCTTTCCCAATTAACAAATATCGTACAAAATGTAAATAAAAAATCATGTTCTGAAGCAGCAAACACTGCAGAAAATTTATTTCTAGAGAATTATGCAAAGGTCACTGCTTTTAGAGATTGATAAAACTTTCGAATCCATTAGCAAGAACATTAGCAACTTATCCAATGCACCTTCTCCAACTCATCTCCCGACTTTGCAAAAATATCTAATGATTCCTCGGGCGAACTGATTTGTGACGGTATACATTGTGCGAAAATCGTATTGCGCGGCACGGTAATATCCACAGATGCGACATTAAACGAGAAAGAATTTTTTGTTTTATTATTGATTTTCACTAGTGTTGTGAACATAAAAGTCCACGAATATACAGGTTTTGTGGTTCAAATTCCGTGGATGTAATTCAATGTGATTGATGAAGACGTCGCAAAAATATTTGTTCTGAAGTTTGATAAATATCTGAATATTAGTGGATTTATGAATGTTAACGTTGGTAAAGACAAATTTCAGAAGATTAATTTAATCGTACGTTCCGAATTTAATTAAAAAAAACTTGATGCAGCGAAAGCAGCCGCATACTAACTTGTTAATGTGTGTTGGCAAAGAATGAAACATAAATACAGGTAACGATTATTAAAATTGTTCTCCTTTTTTCATCTCAGAAGCTTCCTAAACTTTGTGTATAAAATTACAAATTTTGTAACAGTAATCAGTGCTATTTTATAAGCATTTACTACAGGCGTTCGAAACGACTATCCGCAATAACGATGCACGCACCACGAAAAGTGCCGCAAGAGCGATCCAGTTACACGCAACAGTATGTAAGATGTCCGGTGCTCGCCCACAATGTCTCATCTCTATTTCCACTGGATGTAGCGTACGCAATACTTTTCAAGTGCCCCCCGACGAAAATGTAAGGGATTGAGATTCGACGAGTGCTGTGGACCCGGCACTGGCTCGCCTCGATCCTCATCAATCGTTGGCGTTACCACAGCATTCATCGAGCAACGAACAACGTGTCTCCATTTTCTCGGAGCGTGTTCCCGCTATTGTATTGCTTGTTTCGTTTGACACGACTGTGAAGCTGCAGGAAATTCTAATAGCAAATATTACGCAAAGTCGGAGAATGCCCGATCGCCGACAGCTCCACTTGCTGAGCTTGCACCTGCGTCATACTCTGAGGCTACCCGAACTCCGCGGCGAGGATATACAGCAATGGTCGCAATTCATAAGCTCCTGTTTTTGTCTTTCGAAATAGCTTTCGAAATAGTAGAAGAGGAAATTTCGTATCAAAATAACGTTACCTGCTGGCCTCTTCTAGAAAGTAGGCCAATGATTGACACCTGTACGAAGTATATGTATATTTTACGTCACTTTGTTTCTACGTGCAGAAAGTCTTACATTGTAGGATAATTCAAAACTATTGATGAAATGTTAATTGCTCTAAAAACTTGCAAAATATTTTGTTTGTATTTCTATAGTAAATATTTTGTTGTTAAAATACTTTTGATTTTTTTGGGGAGCCATCAATCCGATATGTTATTAGTCATGCGATTTAATAGAGAAAAACTGGAAACTCACATCAGAGAAAGATTTGCAATTCATTTAGAACCTTCTACAAGTCCCTTTGGGTTTCATCACCCTGCGCCAGTCATATGCGCTTCCGAGGTGAGCTGCTGCTCTCATGAATAGTGTTTAGTGTTTGATGGTTGGCCATTGGTATAAATGGGAGCTGTTTCCGAAAGACGCGGTGCCCGTTAGTTGCGCACTTCCGCCTCCAGAAGTACAGATTCTGTGTCACCGTCGGCAGAAGACAATTGTGAATGGCAGCCTTCACATTTAGCCACTCGGAAGCGCCACTGAGCTTAGATGTGTTCTTGTTCACGGCTTTGTTGCCGCTGGCGCCCACAGCGGTGTGACTCACGATCCATCCTTTCCCACGATCAGTGGTGCTGGTCGGTGGGTGTATGTGATGGAACTCGACGCTTGTCGGTGGCGTTGGCGAGTGGCTGCGTGTGAGGGCGGCCTTACCAACACTAGCTTGTAATCATATCACATCGCTTGGAAGAGAAAGAGGAGGAGGAGAAATAAGAAGAGCGGAAGAGGAGAGGAAGAGGGGAGGAGAGATTGATTAGTTCGCGATTCCGGGCGTGTCAACTACTGTGGTTATTAGTCCCGTTAGTCAAGAATATGTGCATCCAGTGGCGGTGCTCTTCCCTCGCTGGATGTGAAATCCAGCGCCGACCTACCCGTCGGCTTGCGGGGGGGGTTTTCTGTCCACATGTCTCTCACCAGCGGGTCACTGCACCAACCGGATCAAGCTCTAAGCTCCCAACTGATATCTCGACATGCGTGGTAGTGCCTGAGAGTGTAAGTTGGTGTAAGGGGAAATAATAGAACAAGGGCAAGAAAGAAACGATCGCGAGCGGCCCGTTGCCATTTTCAAATGTTACTGCTCGGACATTCGTCTGGTAGTGAACGGAGAAACCAAAAAAAACAACAGGTCAGAGAAGTCGGCCGCCAGAGGTCTCCTCCAGGCAGCGGCTGAATGTGCCTAAGTTGTAGTGAAACCTGTAGTAAGCGGCCACTGCTGGTTCCGTGAAAAGTCCTTTTGACGGGTGGTCGCTTAAGAGGGAATTTGTTTTCACAAAAGTAGAGGATATTATTACTACAAATCAGAAGTTGAAGAAAGAAGAGAGGATGATGTAGGGGAGGAGACAAATGAAGATGAGGGCGCTAAGGGAGAGGGATACAAAGCAGAAGCACTATAGTGAAACCTGTAGTAAGCGACCACTACTGGTTCCGTGAAAAGTCCTTTTGATGGGTGGTCGCTTAAGAGGGGATTTTTCTACAAAAGTAGAGGATATTATTACTAGAAATCAGAAGTTGAAGAAAGAAGAGAGGAGGAAGTAGGGATAAAAAGCAGAAGCGGCCGGCGTGCTTACCTCCGAGGCGCAGCTCCGCCGTGCCCTGCGCCATGTCGTTGTCGTTCTTGACGAAGCACTGGTACATGCCCTCGTCGTCCTTGGCGACGGCGTGCAGCGAGAGCGTGTGCGCAGGGCCGCCGGCGCTGCCGCCGCGCACGGGCTGCCCGTCCTTGAGCCAGTGCAGGTCGACGAGCGGGTGGCCCGCGGCGGCGCACGCGAACGTGGCCGGCTGGCCCAAGGCCGCGGTGAGCAGCGGCGGCTGCACGCGCGCGCCCAAGGGCGCCGTCACCAGCAGGCTCACCTCGAGGCGCACCCGCCCCAGCGGGTTGCTCGCCACGCACGCGTACCGGCCCGAGTGCGCCGGCCGCGCGCGCGCCAGCACCAGCAGCCCGCCGGCCTCGTAGCGCTGCTCGTCGCCCGCCAGCGGCTCGCCCTCCGACTCCCACCTGCGCAGCCACGCGCCGCGCGGCACGCACACGCTAAAGTCATTGATTCATTGATTCATTGATTCATTGATTCATTGATTCATTGATTCATTGATTCATTGATTCATCGATTCATTGATCCATAGATTGATTAGAAATTCCGGGTGGGTCCACGGCTAAGCTCACTTGTCCCTTAAGTGTAGTGCGTGCGTTATAGCGAGAGGTGGCGATGATGTCCCTACGCTGGATGGCAAGAACCGGAGCTATCCTACACATCTGCTAACGGCGTTTTTCCGGCCAGGTATCTCCCAACAGCGGAGCACCACCCATCCGGGACACACTCTAAGCTCCAGACCGGTCTCTCGGCATGTGTGGTAGTACAGTGCCTGTTAATGTGTGTGTAAAGTTTGAGAATAAGACAGGGAAGAGGTAGGAAAGACAGCGCGCGGTACGTGGCCCGTTTGTTAGGGTACTGCTCCGGCATTCGCCTGGTGTTGATCGGAGAAAACACGGAAGACTACCGATCAGAGCAGCGGGCCGCTAAAGTTCTCCTCCAGCCAGACACTGAATTCGGCCTAGCTATCTGGCTAGTGTCGAAAATCCTACTACCGTCGGGACTCGAAACTAGAACCTCCCGATCAGAGGGATTGCAGTGACATCAGTGGGTTCCCTGAGCCGTATCTCTAGGTGAAAAGGCTGTGGAGCGCGCCGGAGAAGGTACGCCCCGTGTTCTGACGACGCCTCGTCGATCGAAGCCACGCGGTTGACTTCTCCCTCAAGAGGATCTTACGCTCTTCACGAGGGAAGGGATTCGGAAGCGCCTCGCCGTACAAGTCGCAGAAATACCTCGATGCTTTCCTGGAGCAGGCCCCAAGGGTTCACTTCTACATCACCGGGACAGAACGTTGAACCGTGAAACATCTGCAGTGGCCGGAAGGAAGATTGACGATGTATGAAAAAAAAAAAAAAATCTGGCAAAACGTACGTTTCAATTGATGGTTTCGTTTAAGTTGTCAGCCATTTTTGGAATAAATGCCAAAATAGTCCCTTTTTATTCTAATTTTTGTTTGATACAGTAAATGTATCATTATTTCTCACTAACCGTTAACTGTAGTTTGGACAACTTCAGATATAATGTTTCCACGTAATCATATTTTTTTCTCTTCATCATAATCGGCATTATTATTATTATTATTATTATTATTATTATTATTATTATTATTATTATTATTATTATTATATTTATTATTATTCCTGACTTCACGATTAAATATGTTATGAATCGGTTGAATGTAAAGTTTATTCCAGATTGTATGGAATGCCTGCATAATTGTTTCAGTTGCTTTGCCACACACTCAGCGTTGTTCATTACTCCAGAATCTTCAACTATGTGTTTGAAATAGTTTTTGTTGTTATTACTTGGTATTGGATTGTAATAACGAGACCCTCGGCCTCGGGGTACAGGCAATGAGATACTTGTAGGACATCGATTTTGATTGGCTACTGCTGCAGGTTATAAACCGTAGGGTGACTTCTACATCCATTTCTCTATTACTTCTCCAAATCAGGACTATTGCAAGTTCGTGTGGAATCTAAGGTTGAGGGTAGTGTAATTGTTATCTGTCGTGCGTTTTTCCTGCGTTCCACGAAACGAATTCAGAAATATTGTCCGACTGAGTCCAAGTTGATTCTCGGGTGGATGGAAACATTGCCATTAAAGAAATTTGAAAATTGTCGGTTTCCTGTCCGTGCAACTGAATACTATGAGTGTTCCCTATTGTTATGTTTTATCAAGCCGACCCCAGAGGGTTCTACTTTCAACCAGAACTCTACATGAGCTTGAAGCAAACGTTTGCTGAGACGATCAGGATCGTTGTGCAATTCATCTCCGGGGTCACCACCGGAGTCGTTTTCAACAATTGCGTCTGTTATTACCTCGTCCAAATCTTCCTGCACATTCTCGAGATCTGTAGTCTCCAACAATGAAATAATATCGTCGGCACTCCATTCTTTATGTGACCGAATGTGCAAAATATAAGAATGGGCAAAGCCGGAATGGATGTAAGGCAAAAGAATTACCACTATAAGGGGAGATGCGGCAAAGAGTTTTATTCAATCACCCGTTGGATCGTCAACGACGTTTTTATGCAACTGTAAAATTATCAGAGATACGTAAATAGTTCATACATAATTAAATAAAACTAACATTTTAGAATCGCAGCAATGCAAAATCACTGAACCTAAGCCTCTTGCCTCTCAATAACTAAGATAGAAATACCAAAAAGCCCAATCAACGTGAAGTCTGGTGTCATCAAATATTTGACACTTGTAACAAAATAAAGAATTTTTTAACGTGGGTCGTTGACGACCCACTAGGCACTTTATCTTCCAGTAAATTCACATTATTGATCTTCAAAGCTAGCATCTAAGAAAACATTTCAATCACTTTGTAGATAAGAATCGATATAAGTGATTGCAATGTCTTAGATGTTAAAATATTTTTCCTTTTTTAGACTTTCCTATTTGTTCTTACAACCTCAACTACGAATGTGGTTTTACATGTCTTATAAATAATTGTACAGCGAAATAAATTTACATATGTCACGAAAAACGTCACCCGCGTTAACTATTACGCTTTCAAAATATTTCTTTTAATTCAGATATATCACTCACACCTGATGTGAGTCACATTATCAGTTCATTTTATGATATATTCAATCTTTTTTATGTGACCTCTGTTCAGACAGCGTACTCCGGTTGTGATAGTGTAAGTTATGGAACATACTCCCCAACGGCGATCGTTTTCCAGATTGGGAGAGATGGATGTGACAGGATTGAGAAGGGGAAATATCACGTGGTTCGTGTGCCGTTGTGTAGGACGTGGTATAGTTATTAAATAAAAATGTGTATTGTCAGTTAATAGAAATAAATGAGGTACTAGAGATTGATTCTGTCTCATGAATGTAAGATGTTATGATGTTGTCATTGTGTGTGTGTGTATATATGTATGCATGTATGTATGTATGTATGTGTATACACACACACACACACACACACACACACACATAAACAAAGTCGAGTTAGTGACATCATCAAGAACGGCTGGACCAATTTTATTTATCTCTAATTTGCTAGATTCGTCTCCGACCCAAAATAACTATTAAAATATGGAAAAAATACAGTAGATAGTGCTGTAGAACAAAATTAAAGACCCAATCCATAACAAAAACCAAATGCAACCCGCAACACACACTGAAGATGTTCTTTTGCTTTTTTAATCTGTGTTGTTACACAACTCCTACAATTTTTTGGCAAAGCCTCAAAAAAACTTCCTAACGCCATAATTACAGATTGAGATGTTTTTGAACAGTACATTGCATTTTTGCACAGGGAGAGGTGGGAGAGGGGAAGGGATATAGGGAGGGGAAGAGATGAAGAGAGAGAAAAAAAGAGATGAAGGGCAGAACAATATCGGCCTGGTTCCGGTAGTAAAAAGTCATAAAAGTTATCTATGGTTGAGTATTTACAATATAAAATAAAAGGAAGGGTGAGTAAATTTTTCATCAAAAAAGAATTTTGAGAAGAGTGATAAACCAAAATGTTCAGTAAATATATATGCATTTTGCTTAGGTACAGAAAATAAATGATTAATATTTGTATGTTCCAATAGAATTATAAGTGAACTATGATTATTAAAATTATGGAATTTTACAAAATAAATCTATAAAACCTTTAAATACTAAACATAAAAATAATGACAAAGATTGCAAAGCATGAGAAGATTCTGATGATTCAAATGTAATAGCAGGGAATGTAATGAATCAAACCACGACAACTCCAAAAGTTTTAAAATATGCAAATATTTAAAAGCCTAAAATATTATGGTGCATTAAGGGACAAGCTGACAAAACTACCACTAAAATACAAGCAAAAATTCACAACAATAAAAATTAAATATGAAGTTGCAGATTCATATTTTTAAAGGATTTTAACCATTATATCTAGAAATGTAGATATTGGAGAGGAAATTGGAGATAATAAAATTATTTCTTTTACATTGGAAGGTTTAAAAGATGAATTTTATTATGTTGATAATTTTTTAAAAAAAATGATAGAAATAAGACAACAACAAGTACAAAATGTGTTAAAAGAAACCGAAACATATTTGAAATTTGGAAAATGAAATGAAAAAGAAGATTGATAAATTTTCAAGGTTTAACATAATAGAAAAATTAATAATGTTAATAGAAAATGTTTTAATGGTAGTAAAATAGGGCATATTTAAAAATTTTCAGATTAATCCAAAATGTTTAAATGCAAAATATTAGAAAATCAATTGTCACAGTGTAGAAATTCAAAAACACAAAATTATGAAAAAGGTAATGCATATAAAAGTTATAATAATCTGGAAGATGAATCAAATAGTTTTATGAATGAAATGCAAATGAAAAAAGTACTGGAGAAAGAAGAAGAAAGTAATTTTTACAACTTAGAAAATACTACAGAAACAAGATAATTCTAATTTGTTTTGGATTCATATTGCTAGATATAAAGAAATAATTGTTAACTATAACATTAATATTAAGTAAACAGAAACATCAATGGAAAGAACATTAGCAATGATTAACGTAATTGTATTAGGAGGTTAAATATTTCAACTACTTCACAAGGTATTATAATTTTAAAATATTGTTTCCATGTTCCAAATGTAAATGAACATGTATTATGTGTGGCAAAAATTGTAGACATAGCAGAGGAAGAATACCAA